AGCTTTGTTAGAGGTCTTCGAAAGCTCTTTTGAGTCACACGTGAAACCGTTTCGGCGCGAGTAATTTTGACCATGCACTCGCGACTCGGCTATACAAATCCTAACCGATCAGTCGTTCCGTTTTCTGATTGATGTGGTCAGGCGAACGCTGATTTGAAATTTTAAGATGTATAAAGTTCCAACGATTCTCCTAAATGGCGAAAAAGAGCAACAACAGACGTGTTTTCTTCTAAATCCCCGATATTGAACATTTACGTAGTACCTATCGGATTAACCCAGGGACAATTGGACAGGGCAGTGATTGTAAAATCGCAAAATTTGGCGTTTCTGGATTTTTTCTCAACCGTAAAAAATCATTTGAAAAGATGATCTCTTCATAAAGCCCTGCTTAAAAAGTTGGGCCTTTGTTGAAGAAAAAGTGTTTTGATTTCTTAAAGACAAAAGTTTGCTTTCACCAGGGAGGCATTTTTTCAAATTTGTTCCTCTTCCTTTATGTTTTCTTTAAGTTATAACGAAATTCTTCGTTTTCCAAAGAGGTTAGCATAATTAAGTGCATAGTTTTTGTTGTTTTAAGCCTATTTGTTAATTCTGTTATTTGAAAATCTCTTAGTTTGTTTAATTTTCAGTCATTAGACTAATAAACCATAAGCAATAGGCTTTTAGTGTATGAGATAGTGGGAAGCAAACTATTTGAAGTCAGCAAAGGTGATTGTCAAAATTGTGATTCTTAACTTAGCTATTTGTCAGAAAAATTGGAATAGCTTTGTAAGTGACATTAGTAAACAGTTCTTCATGTTTCAGTCTTCCATTGAGGAAGGGGGGTTTATAGATCTTCCAGACTGCATGCTAGGAAGCATGTAGAAGCTTGCCTATTTTTTTGACAAGTTTGTTTATGTCGTGGTTGCACAAAGAGACAACTTTTGGGTGCATTCCTTTGGGAAGATCTAGATCAGGAACAGTGACCCGAGGTCATTCAGACCGTGGCACATCAAATGAACCAATGAATCCACCACAATGAACCAATGAATCCTTGCTCGGGGTGGATTCATCAGTTCTGAGTGATTGTGGATCACTGATCCTGATATCCCAAAGTACACTCTCCTTGTCACTTGTTTGGTTTATTTTCCTTTGTTTCTTATCATGAACACTTAGAATACTGATTAAAAAAAAGTGGGAAGAAACAGCACATGTTTAAATGTCTATGAGCAAAAGATGTTTTATTACAAAATGTACAAAAAGCACATCTCTTCGCTGGATGGGGGGTTTAGCTTGTGTTTTATGTGAAATCCTTTCATATAACCTTAAGGTGGTGTATGATAAGTAATTTGTTTGTCGTTACCACCAAAGTTTCGACTCAGGGGTAGGTGAAAAAACCCTCAGCTCTTGTAGAAACTTCTAATCTCCACGTCAAAATTTTCTTTGTATTTACTTGTCTTTCAGGGCTTTATCATTGCTCTTAGCCTGCGAATACAGCCGTTTCTCTTTGTTCCTTGCCATTCCTCCCGGCGAAACGTCCCTAGCGGCAAAGAGCAGGGAGAAATGGCTGTATTTGCAGGCTACATTGCCTTTTGCATGGTGTTATAAATTCATTGCATTCAAAGTAAAGCTAAACACTTCCAGGTGAGGAATGTCCAAGGGTGAAAACTTTGAGACTTAATTGAGTTGCTTTTTAACCCAGTGTAAAGCAGTAGTTTTGCTTATTCCAGCCTAACATAATCTTGGTAAAGCAAAAGGACCAATAAGTTTAGCTTGGCTACTTGGAAAGGTACCAAAGGGCGTATGCTTAGCTACAGCTGTGAGTCTCTGTGCTGTTTACTACTTTGACTCATTGAGTGATCCAGGACGCTCATTACCCAGTGTGTACAGCTTCAAATTTAACAAAAACAAAAAACAGTAAAATTTAAGGAAGTACCATACAAAAGTTCTGCCAAAGAGTTTTCATTTGAATGTTCACAGCACAGGATTTTATCAACAGACTCAAAACTTATAGGGAAGTTTTATAAATTTGCAGAGAGGGAAAGTTAGTGATGCTTAACATAGTCTCAACAGGGGTTTGATTTGTTACTCTAAAATCTGTGCATGAAATCCACCGGTGTAACCATTCAAATGAAACCTCGTTTGCTAAACTTTTGGCTGGTGTTGATCATTTCTTTGTACTTTACAGAAAGAAATTTGGAATTTTGTGATTTATTTTTACATTTGCTACTATCAGGAGTTAAAGGGGTTATGTGCAGTGCGGTTAAGAGTTTTGTCTTGTTGAGCCCTTTCAGTGGTATTAACTTGATATTTCTTGGTAAACAGGACTGTTTGATTTATTTCAACTATTGAAACTGCCAGATCCACGAAACAATGACAATTTTTTTTTCTCAAAAGGTTTATCAAAGTGACATTATTTTAGGAGTTTGTTTAGCATTAGTCAGATAGTTTATACAAAGTTGATTATCTAGATTAGAGTTATGAAGATGTTAGGTAAGGGAAACAAAAAAGTGGTTTGTTGACAGAGTTGTGAATTAAATTGCCCACTGTAAAAAAAAGTTAACAATGTGGCTGTAAAACCAAAAACTTCTCAAACTTGCTATAAAAGAAGAAATATCCAAATAGCAGTTTATTGAAAGAACTGATTCATCATTTTTTGAAAGGCCTTTCTTCCTAAAAAGATTTTAAGTTTCGTGCATGTTATGACTTGCCATGGTAGTTGTCAACACTAGATTTGTGGTTGAATAGCTTTGCAGTTCATCTATTTAGACAGGAAACCAAGTTTGTTTTATGTAGAAAACTGTTTTGTACTTTTGGTGACAGTGAATCAAAAAATGACTTTTGGTTTACGTTTTCCCAAGCATTATCTCTTTGTGATCCAGAGAGCGAAACGTAATGAAAATACGCTTGTGAATAACAAAGATATGATCAATATCTCAAGTAAACTTTTCTATGAATACACACTTGTAAATGTCCACGTGGGAGGTCTGTGCTTTATCTCCGTGTGGGCGGTCGGTGGTACACCGCGATGGCCCTCTAATCTGCCACGTGGCGCTGTGAAAATCTCTTGTATCTCCCCGCTCGGGGGAAGCCAGAATTCCGATCTTTTCCTGTCTAGGAATTCACAGCCGTCTACGCTTTTTTCGACCTTCTATCCTCTCTATCTAACTACATGGATGTTAGACGCACCGGTGCGACATTTAGGGAGCTTTTACGTTGATTTTGTCAAATGAAGCTCTCGGTTTCCTTATGTAAAGTTAAACGCGTTTGTTGGGCTCCGGCTTGTGATTGAGATATCGCTCGTTGCACCACACATCTTCCATATAAGAATACTTAGAAAAATGGATTAAACTGTAGTAATCGCAAGTTCCTGCAAATTGTACATTCCTGCAAATTTTACAGCCCTAGTTGACATACAATATTCAGTTGAAGGAAGCATTTCTGAGACTCCACAGTTTAAAAGGAGTTCTAGCAATCTTGCTTAAGTCAGGATTATAACTAAGAAACCTTGTTTTGTCCGTTTCGTAAGAGGGTGACGATCAAATGAATTTCTCGTAGTTTAAAATAAAGAAAGTGCACATATTTAAGTTAGTTTAGATCAAATTTCTTATGACCACCAAAGCGGGGAAGAATAGCGTTTAGTTTGCGTCGGCGAGATAGAAAGGTCAATTTTTTGGGTTCAAGTTTTTGAGATGTTTCACCACGGTATAGAGTTCTTGTTTTAATAAACGTTGAAAAGCACATCACGAGGTTTTCCCGTTGTTTATTTTAAGTGCAAATCCCTGAAGAACGTGTTGCAATCCAAATTAATACTCAATTTTATCATACATCGGACTTCCTGTTCTAAAGGAATGGACATATTATATCTATTCACCCTGGACGTTTATATTCTTTAGTGTAATGACGTATCTTCGAAAACATTACTAGGTCTTAATTCTTTATGCAGACAAAAAAGTCGATGTTCCGAAGCTAATGGGAAACGTAAAGCCAAATTTTTTTTATGTATTTTATTTTTATTCTACACGCTAAACTACAAGAAACGCTCCAAAACTGTCCAAATATGCTGCGTAGTTTTTTGGAAAAGATCCTTGTTTCATTTCTAAACAACGGCGAGTGATGCAACGTGCTCTACTGAACGTGAATTTTCACAAAACGGGCAATATCTTAACGATTCATGAGCTGCGTCGAAACTGAAAAAAAATCGTTTTCTCTCCGTGATTTCGATAATCTATTCAAAGCTACCGTAACGAAAGCCAAGGAAGAGTCGACTCTTTGCAAGGTAAAATTTTCACAAAGGGTTTCGTTTACAGATCAACATGTAAAGTGGTTTCACAGCGGCAGAAATGTTACGCTTGCCTGACCCGTAATCTTAACTGTGGTAATGACACTCGATGCATAAAACATTTTTGCATTCGTATTAAGCCTAGAAGGAATTTCCTTTGTTGTTTGAGAGAAATGTTGGGGAATTTAAGCAACGACGACGGCGACTTCAACGTGTACGGCAAAAAAGCAAATAGGTTTAGATTGACAAAACAACAACTTTGTCGTCACTGCACGACTACGACGTAAAATGCCTAATTTGACGTTTGGCGGAGGACGTGAACACAAGACGATGACTTTCTTTTTTTTTCCTGAACTTCGATACAGTCTTTTGGAAATTAAACTCCAGAAAAAATTGCCAACATTTGACGAATTGAACGAGATCGCGCGCGATAAAGTGCGAAGCAGCGCGACTTCACTTTTAAGTGACGTTTTCGTCGCGGTCGCCGTTGTTGTTGCTTAACCCTTTTAAGCCCCAGTATCCACATACAAATTCTCCAAACTGATCTCCATACATTTCCTTTAAGAATTAGTTGAGAGATTTTAATAAAAAATCAAGGCATTTTCTCTTTCGTGATCATTTTTTTATATTCTCACAACCTTATCTCTTGACAATGTATGGACATTGTTAGGAGAAAATTGCTGTTGGTCACTATTGGGACTTAAAGGGTTGAGCTTCCTATTAACGGTGCCATTGTTCCTACATGAGGTGGTTTTTAATGTCGTTATCTTTGTTACAGACTCGATCAGGGAGACAACTAAGCAAGACTGCTGAGCAACAATCAAACGGAAAATTTCAAGCAACAAAGACTACCAGGAATTCCCGAAAAGCGCGAGGCCAGAATGGCTGGCATGACATTGTAAAACAAGATGAGTGTGCGGTAGACACAGAGGAGCGCTTCGTGACCGCAGATTCTACTAACTACGAGGCCGCCAATTTCGGAAGTCTAAAAGAAATCATGGAAGTACAAGAAAGACCAACTGTAGGAAACGCCGGGGAAAATGTACCGTTTGAAAGTGGAAGAGACGTTGCGGAAAACAAACGTTCGCGGCGTGCACGCGCACGGCACACGTCGATGTTAGAACGCCTGGCGCCGACGCCAGGCTACGTCGACAAAACCTCCATGGATTTTGAGTCGCTAGCGCAGAGGAGGACGCCGCGAATGGCTAGTTTAAACGCTGCCGCGAAAGTGAACGTGTTCTTTGAGCCTTCTAGTCCTTTAGCGGGACGGAGCTTGTGTGAGATTCAACAGCATAGTACCACAACCAAGAAACCCCCGGTGAGGAATTCGACCGAGAGGAGGTATTCGGACAGAGGGAGTTGCAATGGAGCGGACAGAAGTTACGACATGAGGGAGTTCCCTGACTCGGAAGTGTTTTTTCAGAGTGAAGTGAGCTCGACGTGGGATACGTCAAGATCCAAGGGTGTGATCGTTAGCCCCAAGGATTTCGGCGATGAGCCAAACCACTCGCCTAATAGCCATTTTGAATTTGTCACCAACGGTCAAAGGACAGGAAAAGATAATCTTAAGCGAAAGCCCGAGGCTGATTCAACTTCAGAAGACGAGAAAAAAGCAAAGAGAGTCCACCTTGATGGTGGCAGTGAACTTGTTAGCACTGAGACCAGTGACACAGTAGATTTAGACGAAAGTGGAGAAGTAGAATGCGACACGACCACGGATTCGCCGCCAAAGACAATGGTGGACGTGTGTATTCAAGTGGATCTGCCGCTGCCCCCAGTCAAGAACGTGCGGGTGCTTTCTGTACCAATCAAAGGACAGCTTGTCACGTCAGCCGGCGCTGTTCCTTTCACCAAGAGCCACCTTGTCACGCCGGTCACGCCATCCAAACCACCTCCGGAACTTAAAATGAGCAAGACCGCGACAACAAAGAGAATTGCAAGCATGAATCATCAGGCGATGGAGAACGTTTTTGCTGCTAACGATGGCCCTTTGGCCAAGTATAAATCCGTGGGTGGATTGATAGAGGAGCGAAGCAAAGTAAAAAAAGCTAAAGAGCTAACGAACAAAATGCCGGCATCGTCTTCTATAGCACTTAAGATCCCGAAGATTAACTTTGCCGCCACATCCACATCTACTATGAGTGCGGGGCGTGGCCGGCCCGCGGGAAACCCGCTAAAAAACATCCATTTAAAGAACTTGAATATTCATCTAGAGAAATTGGCTGCGCAGAGAGCCCGAGCCGAGCCTCGGGTGCCTAAGGTTTGTACAGGGAAGGATGGGAGGGTAGCGTTAGGGAAGGGGTTGGGGATAGTTGACAGTTGGTTTTATTTTGCTGTGTTTCCGCGCTCTGAATTGGCTCACAAACCGAACGGGGCTTTCTCTGTCAAAACAAAAGGTGACTTTCTCAGTTGTGTTTTCCCCCGCTATATTAGGAACTTTACGATCCAACGACGCGACGGCAACGAGAACGTCAAAAGAAAGCAGTAGGTTTAATAAGCAAAACAACAACTTCGCACGTGCATCACTTTTTTTAGTACATTTCTTTGCCGTCTTTGCACAACTACGACGTGAACTTGCTTAATTTCGCGTTTTATGGAGAACGCAAACAAGCAGAAGGAAATTTTATTTCTCTTTCTCAGCTTGGAAATTGTCCCTTGGAATTCTAATTTAGGAGGGTCCGCCTACATTTGACAAAGTAAGTGGGTAGGAATAATCACGATAAAGACTGAAAGAACGCAAATTCACTTTTTAAGCGACGTCTCGTCGCCGTCTCGTCGTTGGATCTTTCAAGTCCCTATTCAGTATTGCCTATAACAGACACCCAGAGTTGGCCCCTCTGTTTCTTTACTCCTATTCTTTGACTCTCTGTAAGAAGGACACCCACAGTCCTCCCTTGTCGTTCCTTAGTCGTGAGGGATCTTAAGCAACGACTGACGACGGCGACGGCAAAGAGAACGTCAAAGAAAGCAGTCCGTTTAAGAAAACAGAAAAAAATTTCCGTGAATAGACGTGAGTTTTCCTTATACGTGAATTCATTTTATTTGGGACGTTTTTGCTACCGTAGCTGTTGCGGTTCAGTGCTTAAGCACCCTTTTCACTTCTTTAAGGCGGATACCAGGAGTTTTCCTTGCGTTTCTTCAGTCCTTTTTCTGTGACTCTTTATAAGGCAGATATTTCTGTAAAATGGACATCTAGAGTTGATTCCCTCTCTTTTTTAGTCCATTTGTTTGACTCTTTATATGACTCTTAAACATGGACATTCAGTGCCCATCTCAGCGTTCTAAGAGAGAGTTAATTGTATTGGAAGAAAGAAGCAGTTTCAGTCCATTATTTCAGTCTTTAGTTACCAGCGGCCGTGGGGAAATATGAATTAAGCCCTTGACGGAAGTACTCTGCGAGCAGAGGCTACAGTTTCGCTGTGTGAGCTGGCGTGTGAAAAGTAGCCTCTGCCGACAACCGTTCAAATCCGTCCAGAAATCTGGACGAATAAATTAAAAAAACGGTTTTGTTTTCCTGTTCTTGACCGGTATAGAGCGTGAGTCTTGCGTAGCAGATCAGAGTTGTCGCAATTTTTTTATTTCCACGAAACTCGCGCCATTGGACGACAGACCTGACGATTAATTTTGCTTGCGAATCGCGTGACGAATGTCGCGCATGCACGATAGAAAATTGAACGGTTGTCGGCAGAGGCTACTTCTCGCACGACAGCTTACAAAGCGGAAATGTAGCCTCTGCCCGCAGGTTATTGACGCAGAGTAGCTGCGTTTTACTCACCAATCTTATCAAACAAATGAATGAAAGCATTAAGGTTCACCCACCCACTAGTTTCTGTACATAGTCAACTCTCCCTTTACGAACACCTCGCTAAAACGGACACTTCTGTTTGGTGACTGCCTTTCTTCACTTCTGTCCTTTTTTCACTCCTTTTATTTGACTCTCTGTAAGGTGGACATCTCCTTAAAACGGACACGTAGAGTTGGTTACTGTCATTCTTCACTCCTTTTAGTTGACTCTCTGTAAGGCGGACATCTCCTTAAAACGGACAGCTAGAGTTGGTTACTGCCATTCTTCACTCCTTTTAATTGACTTACTATAAGACAAACACCTCGCTAAAACGCACACCTAAAGTCGGTCCCTGCCTTTCTTCACTCCTACTAATTGACTCTCTATAAGGCGGACATCTTCTTAAAACGGACACCTAGAGTTGTTTACAGCCATTCTTCACTCCTTTTAATTGACTTACTATAAGACAGACACCTGGCTAAAACGGACACCCAAAGTCGGTCCCTGCCTTTCTTCACTCCTACTAATTGACTCTCGAACATCTTCTCTAAGAAGGACTCATTTGCCGGTCTTAAAGGTGTCCGTTTTAGAGAGAGGTGACTTTGCAATGTGAAGTCCAGCGAATTAGAAATAAGAGTGAGTTCAAAAACTCTGGCGGTAACCTCCCTTACATGAGCAGATGCGCGTGCACTAAGTTAACCGTTTCCGTCGCACCTAACAGTGTTCAATGTAAAAATCGACAAAACATCACAAATTTCTTTCGCAAAATCCTAAGAAATGAATAGCACCATGTAAAAGTTCTATGAAAGAGGTTTCATTTGAATGGTAACACCGTAAGATTTCATTCAGAGATTCAAAAATTAGAATGACAGATGATCTCACTATAACTCGGTCTAGGGATAAAGGGCTAAATAGACCCGATTACCAGCCGCTGTTCGGGAAATGAGCCCGCGCTTCACCCCCAAACAAGAGGGAGGACGAGAGAGCGGCGGAAATGGAGCCTATGGTTAAAACAGAGGATCAATTTAGGTTTTTGGGAAACTGCCCCACTACCCCTCCCCTAAGCTAACATTAACACTTACTTCTCACTTAGGGCAAAATAATGGCTTAGGGGAGGAGTAGGTGGGCAGTTTCCCAAAAATCTAAATTGATCCAAAAAACAAATTAGCTAAAAGCCATAGTGAAGTTTGACGTGAGGTGATAGTGAATAGTCTCAAAAGCAAGATTAGAAGCTATGGACGCTCTTCCTTGTGCTTCAAGGTCCCGATGGTCACGTTTCTTTAAAGTCCCGATAAGTACCGGGCGCGAAAAGCGGTTGTTGTTGTTTACATTTAAGATCGAGGCTTCAATAGGTCTGCATGTAATATGATAAAATGATCAGTTAACAAAACAAAATGGGCTGGTTGTTTTAGGCCGGGGACCCGCGCTTTTCATTCCATGGGTATGATGTTCATTTCGGGCCCAAAAAGTTGCCGGGACTTTTGAGAAACCGGCCCAACGGTTTGGCGTTAGTTCCCAGTTGCCAAAAAGGAGGATAGTGCTCTACACTGGATCGATCACTATGCAGTAGAAAACGCAATTGGTTTTTCGTACATTTACTCACTGGAGAGCAATATATCCAGTGGATACTAACACTCTGCAAATTTTAAACAAGTGGCAACCGCTGGGCATTCGAAGACATCACAAACACTTGCGCGACATTACGAGCACATGCGCGACAACACGAACACGTACGCGACATCACAAACACGCGCGCGACGTCACGAGCACGTGCGGTGTTTTACCATCATTGCACGGAAAACTAGAAAATTTCAGTGATATCTTCAAATGGGACAGTTGATCCTTATGAAACGCTCCCGGAAAAGATGGATATCCTCGGGCCCCAGCTGTTTAAAAAGTTGTGTGGGATAGCCATATCCACCTTAAAAATCACTATATAGTAGATAAATACTAGAAGGACCAATTGCGTCACTCACTGGATAGAGATTTATCCGGTGGATGGCGCTATCCATAGTTTGAGCAACCGGTATCAGATGTCTTCCTCGTTTTTCATTCGAAACCAAATGACTGGAAGATAACTGTGCTTCCCAATAGGGACGTTTCATTGCAACCAAGTTTTCCTTGCGAATGGTAAACGCTCCAAGTCACAGAACAGTAAGAGTATTAACTCTGGTTAGCCTTTTGGTCTCATGAGCTTTTAGTCTAAGCATTGTTCTTTTATCTGCTTTGGAATTGAAAAATGTATCCGCCCATTTAATTTGTTATTTATTTTTGTTATGTTTTGTTTGTTTTGTTTGTTGGCACGTTCAACTTGAAGGCCAGTTTGGTACAGGATTTATACGTAGTCGTTTTGATTTACTTTCAGAGAACAAATGGCTGGATGTTCATCGGTGAACCACTGGATAAACCATACTGCTATGTGAGTGTAAAGATTTCAACAAGCTTTATCACTGTAAACAAAAATTTCCCGCTGATTGTAGGCCTTTTCAGTTGATGAAGGACTTCTATTGGTCGTAAGGGAGCAAGATGAACCGTCCGAACCTGACTGGCTAAGAAAGCACAATCTTTTTTTCTGGCATTTCGACATTTGGTCACTTTAGACACGCGAAAAAAACTGGGTCGAGTTGACTTTCGCAAAGACTTCTGGGACTGTTTCTCGAGACAGGGGAAAAATTGACCAATAGCTGACTGGAGCGTCCCTAGTAACCAACCATCCCACAAACAATCGCGGGACACATTTCGGCACCAGGCCCCTTCTCGTTTCTAAAGTGGCGACTTGTCTATAGAAGTTTATGTTGCGTCAGGCAGTGAGCGAATGAAAATTTTCAGTCTTCAAGGAGTTCGAGAAATTGTGGCTATTTTGTTACTTGTGTTAAAAACCTGATATTTCCCTTGTTGACATTCATGAACCTCGCTTTCAGGACGAGACTATTGTTATACGGCGGTACTACAGCGGTGTTCAACGTGGAGACGAGATCATCAACGTGAGAGACTCGGTTCTACTCAAATCGGGCACACGCAAGAAGGATCCTCATTTTGTTGCTCGTGTTTCTGGTCTCTGGGAAGAAGATGATGGTAAGACTGTTTAACAGACAGACAACAATTGTCCATGGTCTGTACTCCTGTAGACCATACAAATGACTTCATAAAGCCCCCTGCAAACGGACGCAACATGGTTGGGGTTGAGAGTTATTGCGTCGTTTGCACGCAGCTAAAAGTTTGACCGGTTTCAAACTTTGCGCAACAACTCCCAACAACACGCAACAACATGTAACAGGGTGTGCAAACGGAGCCAACATGTAACATCCAACAATTTTGTGTCCGTTTGCACGGAGCTTTATGTCCAAAACTCAAGTGAAGGCTTCAATATTTTGACGTCATTTCTGTGGTTTGTAAAGCTACGTGCTAACGGACGCAACAACTCCCAACATTGTGCTAAACGTTTGACCGGTTTCAAACTGCGCAACAGCATGCAACAACATGCAATAAGGCGTGCAAACGGACGCAACATGTAACATCTGACAATGTTAGCAGTTGTTGGCCAACAAAACGGAGCTTAAGAGTACACATTGTGAAAAATTGTTTTCTGTTCGAGAAAAAGTGATCACGTCTTTTCCATGGACAATTCTCTCATTTTAGACCATACCTCTCGACCAATGAGCACGCGCGAAATCGTTGAACAGCCTTGGTAATACATCTTTCGATCTCTAGGACTTGTATCGTACTCTCACAGTTCAAAAATATGAACTTTCACAGTTTCACCTTCTTCGGTTGTATTGCGAACTCGCAGCGTGACCAGCTCCCAATTCGCTTAATAGCTGGAGATAGTCATCGCTTCGAATCCTGTCCAAGCCTGGATTTTTTTTAAAGCTTTCCTTTCGCAGATGCGATGATCTTTCACGTGTTAAATCCTTCTTTCGCACTTGAAATACATAAAATTTATACACGTTCACTTACAAACATAACTTTCTTAGTAACAATCATAAACCACGTCCGAAATCGGTAATGAAAATTGTTTTACTGTCTTATCACGGCATTTTCAACTTTAAGAAATGAACTCTCCGACGCCCTCAACTCTCTTCAGCTTGACAACCCTGGGTAACTGTCGATTTATGCTCCTTTTCTTTTTCCAAACGCAGGTCCGAACGCTGGCGAAATGATGATGAGTGTATTTTGGTACTACAGACCCGAGCAAACAGAAGTCGGTAGAATTCCAAACTTCCACGGAGAGGTAGGCGGCTGAAAAACACTTGCACTGTACAGATTGTAACTCAACAATAGGTCATTTCAGAGTTGTGCCAAGACTCTGTTTCAATGCGAGGCTAAGGGACTGTTTACACTACGAAGATCTCAGAAGGCAGAACAAATTTACGTTGGGTTTACATGCAGAAATTTCGTTCCGTGTGGTTAACAGTAGCCTGCGATGAAGCTCTTTGGGGCGCTCTGGCGGCGGGGCGGGAAAAGGAAGGAGGCCTTGGAACTGCGTCTCTGGAATTTGAATTCCACCTTCAATTCCCCCGTGGCTCCCCGTCAACTGAGCTCTCAGATTTCCGCCAATCAGCGCGAAGGGGAAACGAGCGCGAATGTAAACAAACATTGAAAGGCTAATGACGTCATTCCTAATGTCATCTTCGCCAATCAGCATTTTGCATCTACTTTTTTCGATGCAAAATTCAAATTCAAATTCAAATTCCTTTTCCCGCCCGCCGCCAGAGTGCCTTGAAGAGCTTGTTTTTTCAAACAAAATTATTGTCACCCAAGGTTTGCCGTCTTCTTTTGCTCTCCCGTCGTGTTGCGTAAGTTCACTAATTATTTTTTGCCATATTTGATTGACAGATGGAAGTCATGGCGTCAAGACATAAGGACGATAACAGTGTGGCGTGTATTGTGGATAAATGTTACGTCCTCAGTTATCCAGAGTACTGCAGGTAATGTAATAGACCTTCAACTTATATGTTTTGTTTGCACAATTCAGATCACGTGATGTTCTCCAGGGAAATTGCCTTTTGTCGTTTCATAAATTATGCATACATATGTAGGTGCATGTCATGCACGTTCGTAGGTCTACGTTTGAAAGAAACTCTGGGGTACCATCACGTGGTCTGAAATGGGAAAACGAAAAAGAGAAGCTAGAAAGGGCTATTCCGGTCTTAAGCTTTTTTCAGGCTAAGGGTTTGTATACGTGGAGGTGGGGATCCCCAGGTAGGTGAGGTAACCCGCCTGTCCATATAATCTCTCATTTAATTTGTTCGCGTTTACATGACGGTTGGGGTGACCATATGAGGGATTACATGGACAGGCGGGTTACCCCACCTAAGCGGGTAACCTCACCTACCTGGGTTCCTCCACCTCTATGTAAACAGGCCCTAAGTATGTAAACGCCAAGGCTGTTCACTCTTTAGATAAATAATCTTATGGAAAAATACGTTGACCACCGTTATCGTGTGGACAAAAGTCATAAGTTTGTATCATGTTGACAAAGCTTTAGAAAAATATAGAATTAGGGTGGATTCTAACAACAGTCTTGTGTTTTGCTAACCCAGTCCCTGTTATTTTGTTTCTAGATTCCGCGCTCTCAACAGATTATTCCGAGAGTTTAGAGAAGCACCTCTTTCACCTGTACCCCCAGGGGAAAGCACAAAACCTGGCTCAGTCCCCCATCCCCGTACCGATCCGAGTCTTGTGTTCTTCTGCCGACAAGTGTACGATTTCCGTATGGGACGGATCATAAAGAACCCTGTGTGATACTTCTTTCATCCCGTCCGGAGATGGGTTTGATGCTCATACCTCAGTGATCAATGGACTTTGAATTTTTGTTATTCAGTTTAGACCACCTGGAAATTATTCTGTCACCGTAAATAATCCTAAACTCTTGCTCAAATTTGCCCCTCAACTCAGTTTCAACTCAGAAACAAAAAGTCATATTCTGATTATTGTGGTTTTATTTTGCAGTTCTTTGTGATGGACTGAGAAATCTCCCACTATTTTCTTGACCAATCAGAAGTCAAGTAAAACCAATCGTGATGTGGTTACATGCGTTTCCCTGTTGTTGGCGCCCACTGCGTCAAGTGGTTTCGAGATGTGATTGGCCAAGCCAGTCATATTTCGAAGAAGTTCCTTTTAGCGGGCGATAAGCGCGAGAAAACGTGTGTCACCTAGTCACGACTGATTTGTTTACTTCTGATTGGTCGAGAAATTGACGTCAGTTTTTTTAGCCAGCCACGCAGCATTGCAATGCAAAACCAACCCAATTTTAAATTTCGTTTTTTTAATGCAGATAGGCCTGGAAAATACCATAATACTCTTAAATGTGCAGGCCTGGCATCAGTTTAGGTGCGCTGGCCTTGGTTGGTATCGTACGCTAGAATTCAGAGCTCGTCTGGGCGGTTTTCCCTTGAATCCACCTGGTTCACACTCAGAAAGTGCTTAGCACGAACAGCTACTTGCAAGATCTTACCAAATACAGGCACACAAGAAGGTATTACGGTATTAGCGGAAGGGCCTTTTGAAAACCGCTTGAGCAGTGACAGTAATGTAATTATTTATCATGAAAACCGAAAAAGAATTGTACGTTAAGTAAGAAATATTTATAGAAAGTTAGTGGAGCAATGATTTGTCACCTAACTCATCAATTTCGTTAATTACGTAAAATGTTAACGAGTTTCTAAGAAATATAGTATTTTTGTTATATTAGTTTGAAAGCAGAATTCACAGAAACGGTACATGGTAATTTATAGTGCACGTCTTAATGAGTTTGAGTCACGATACTTAAAATAAGAATTTGAGTGTTTGGTACGTTAAAAACAATGATTTCTTTGTTTTGGAGGACTTCTAAAATTATTCATAAATTCTCTTTTCCCGTACGCTGAAACTTTGTCGATAAAAACCATCCCTCGAAATAAGGTTGTCGAAGACGAAAAAAGTGTTCCTTCTTGTTAAATTGAATTTTGTACGTTTGGTTTTGAGGATTCAGTCTGTAGACTATCCTTTGTTTCGTATACTAACACATTTCTGAGAGCTTGTTTCATTACCTAGGCTAGCGCCTTTCATACAAGACCGTTGAAATTTCTTCAACCTTCAAATACTTGCACCGACCTTTTCAAGGCACAACTGCCATAGAGATGAGACTCTGTGAATATCTTGATGCCGGTGACGAAAAGTGGAAGGTCGTTGGCAAAAAGGCGACAGAAAAAAACGATATCTCGGTTTAAACTTTGTACTTGAGCTGGAAGATAGTGATTCCAGTGAAAGTTTTTAAAAGACCTGAGGGTGTTTGTTGCGCCGTTGAATTTCGTGAATCTCTGTTAGCGGTAGAACGATATCTGCCTAGAGATGTGTGATTTAGAAGTAAAAGCTCTCTTACAATGAGACCTTTGGTTGCGTCGTTATATTTTTTTCTTAATCTTTTTTTTTTTTTTAAGAAGGACTACAAACTTGAAACAGCTACTTTGAATCCCTGTTACACTTCCTTGCTTGTTTTTCTTGTAAAAAAAAGTCACTGAAGCATGTCCTGCAGTACGTCTGCAGGCGTATCTTGGCTGGACCTTTGTTTGCTTTTTAATTACACGAAGTCTTGGTGTTTTAATAGGAGAGAGTTGCTAGATCCCATTGCGACCATAAACGGCCAGTACAGCGTAACAAAGCAATGCCTGCTGGAAGATAAAATACATGGCTTCTCTTAAGCCGTGATTTCTGCTAAACCAGGTTAATTCTTGGTTGTCCTTTTTTCATCACCAGCTAGAGATACCTCTGCGTTCGTGAACGACCTCAAATGATTTTGTTTCAAGCCTTTTCAATCATTGTGCAAATGCAGCGCGCAGCCGTTGTGTCAGCTGCATAGAATTTTTGAATTTTTTAAAAAATTTAACCTGCAAACTTTTCCACGTGACCTTGTCGCTGGTTTATACTTGCACAAACCTGCATGTGTGACCACTTCTCTAAAAGTCTTAGACTGTCCAAAAGCCCGAAACTACCTCCTCTCGGGGATATGGAAGTTTAGGAATCTGTCCTTTCCTATCCTCCAAAACTCCAATGTTAGTTTCCCAACGCAGGCTACAGTTTCCCTAATCAAAATACTATATATAGAGTCCCCATGAAAATTATCTACGAAAGCCGAGGAGGGTCTTCCGACTTCTGACTTCAGACTTCAGACTTAAGACTTCATACTTCAAACTTCAGACTTCGGACTTGACAAAGTTCGAACTCCGGATTTCTGATTTCTGACCGTTGAGACTCAATGCTGCATGGTTAGACTTCTGACCTTCCACTTCCCACTTCTTACTTCCCACTTCCCACTTCTAACTTCCGACTTCCGACTTGACTCCTCTGCCAGGCTCGATTACCGCTCGATCCGCCACGCGGGTATTAATGCTCAAGGTCAAGGCTCAGTATAAAGAACGGCTGTACCGTTCTAGCCACAAAAGAGAACAACTAAAGTTGCTCTTGTAAAAAGCAACTAAGCACAAAGCCAATCAGGCAACTGATGAGGGTCGCTTGGGGAACCGAAACCATGGTCTTGCCTGATCACAAAGTGGCAACAGTGATAACAAAACAGTCCAAACACTGTTAAACTTATTAAAAACCTATAACCAAGGAAGGAAATACGCGCTCCAGTCAAAAGGCTCACATTTTCTTTAGAAAAACACTAAGCTGGAATCTACTGAGTCACAATGCATTCTCCATAGTTGATGCAGCTTCATTTTAAGCTGCACTTCATTCTTATCACTTTAGATCTGTAAATCACTATCCGTGATAATTTAACGTCCTGCGAAGAAAACTAACGAGCTGGGACCAGCGTGATACAGCATTGCATATTCACGGACTAAAATCATAGTCACATAGTTATTCAGGTCCAGAAGGCATTTTGGAGAAAATTAAGAGCCCTTTCTTGGCCGTAATAAAAAGCTTTAAAGAATATGCTTTTGCATCAGAGGGCAAATCCTGCCGACCAGAAACGAAAACCACAGTAACTAAAATAAAATCGATATGTGTGCCATGACCTCTCAATGTGAAATAGGCGGCTTAACCAGAACCTTCTGGAGCATAATCTACCCAGCAGAAGGGAAAAAAAAACGTTTTGGGAACAAGCAGCATTTTAGCATAAGGTAAAAGTCGTGTAGGCCTATCACCGCCTTTCATTGCTACGGAAGCTGGAAGTCGGAAATCAGAAGTCGGAAGTTGAAAGTCGGAAGTCCGAAGTTGGAAGTCGGAAGTTGGAAGTCGGAAGTCGGAAGACCCTCCTCGGCTTTCGTAGGGAAACGGTTCCTCGGCACCATGAGTATTTTTATCAAGAAAGTTTGAACATTTTGCGTGACTTAATGATCCTATCACCTGATCGAGGTAGGCTAATTAATTCTATTTAGTATTGTAATTGTATTGTAATTGTAATTATTCACTTTGTATTTAGTATTCAGCTTATTTTAATGTATTGTACGTTAATCATTAATTCTACTTAGTATTTTAATTGTATTGTTATTGTAATTATTCTACTTAGTGTCAAGCCACTGCTCGCCTCGAATAGCTATAGCTAACTGCGAGCAGTGGTATATCATATTTTGTATTTTCTCAATTTTTCTTAATAAACTTGAACTTGAACTTGACTTGGCTGGACACAAAGGAGTTCAACATGGCGCGAGGAACCAGCAAAATTCGTCTTTACGACAGAGACGTTTTTCCTGCAGCAACGGAGGGTCCTGCCAATGTATTTTCAAGTACACCATTTCTTCTAGTGAAGTCCAGGTAAGAAACTAAGTAACAGAATCGTCAAGCGATCTTTTCCCGCCAAAAAAGTTGTTGTTTTTGTCGTAACTCTCTCACTACAGTACTTGTCGGAATGGCGGATTCAGCTAGACTTCAAAGCTCCTTTAAGTAAGCTAATGCTTCAAGAAAAGATTCAATGTTTTCTTTCTTTAATCAAAACCGTGACTAAATCAAGCTTAATTGTTTCAGTTTTTTTGTAGGTTTTTATTGGAAGCTGCTATTGAAAACAGATCAAAATGCTTCAAGAAAATATTCAATGTTTTCTTTCTTTAATCAAAACCGTGACTAAATCAAGCTTAATTATTTCAGTTTTTTGGTTGTTTGCGGGACAAAGGTTAAACTGTCTTAAAAGTTGATAAGACGGTAAATTTACCAGTCAATTCCATAACCGCCCATCTCCCCCCCCCCCACCCCACCAGGGCATACCCCGGGCATATGACTAGTGTTTGCTCCGTACAGTGGGGATACAGATAGATCAACAGCAGCACAACAGTGCTTGGAGAGGGAGGGGGCAGGGACAAGCTTCATTTTCTCCTTTTGAAGTTGGCAAAAATGTTTCAAAGGCAAAGATAGGGGTGGAGAATGGTACCTCGAAAAACGTGGGTCTCGGAAAATTTTGTGAGGATCTCGAAATCTCGGAAGCGTTTATGATAAGTCTTGAAGTCTCGTTTTTCATGGTTTGTTTTTACTTTTTTGAGTCTCGAAACGTTTTAACAAAGAGTCTCGGGCACAGATTTCTAACTAGGATCTCGGCGTCTTGGCAAGTCTCAGATTTTACCATTTGCCACCCCTAAAGATGGACACCTAGAAAATTGTTGTATCTTCTGGGGAATTGGTAGTCTGGGTACTAAGTCCCATGGGAAACTGGCCAGTAAAATGGGTTAAGGCAAAGAGTGTAAGCTATGTTTTATTGTTGTTGATTGTACCTTCCCCCCAGCTCAATTAGGTTTTACTGTCTTTAAAGGTGGATTGCAGATGATGCTGCACAGGTCTGCCCTCTTTGTTTGCAGAAGTTCACCCAGATTCGTAGAAAACACCATTGTCGTCAGTGTGGCCGAGTCCTTTGTAGCAAGTGCTGTAATGAGAAGGTAAATTAGCAGTTGCATCTTTCCCTTACAAGACACTTTAACCCTTTAAGCCCCAATATCCACATACAAATTCTCGGAACTGATCTCTATACATTTTCTTAAAGAATAAGTTGAGAGAATTTGATGAAAGATCAAAGCATTTTCTGTTAGGTGATCAATTTATTAATTCTTATAACCAAATCACTTGACAATCAATAGATATGGTTAGGAGAAAATTGATCTTGGTCACCATTGGGACTTAAAGGGTTAAAGGGCTATGTACGTCCTGCTTAATTTGCCCCAGCTTTAAGATGAATGCCTTACTGATCACTAGTAAGATGCGCACTTAGTCACATTTGCACAGTATGCATGCCCACTAAAGATTGTCTTCAAATCCTGCCGGCTCAAAGCAAGAATTTTTGCATTAATTTTGTTAATTGTGCACTCTGCATGCTCTGAATGAGTCGCCATCTTTGACCGAATTTGTATCATGGCAGGGATGAGGTCTGGTAATGTTGGGTGGCCCCAGATGGCTTGGCGACTTGCTTTTGGCCTTGGGTGACTAATAAATCTTAGTGTCTGCACACAACTTATATGATGGGGTGTCTGAATTTCCTAATTTCAGGGACCCATTTCTCCAAAGTTCAGGTAACTTTTTGGCCCTGAAATCAAATTAATGTTCAAACCAGAATCTACAGTTTATAATAACGGAATAAAAGACAATATAGTAGTCCTCACCAGTCCTCACAAGTCTGTTATAGTTAGTTAACTGATACATGTAGGCTAGGTTTGTCATATTATCTCCAAAACTGTTGTAACCTTGAACTTGAATATAAACGACAAAAGCTTTCCTGGCCCATAAATATCGTGACTTTCAAGAAATCATGATTCCCAGAGCTTTTCAGCTACCAACAATAAGAGCATAGCCTTGGTATGTCAGAAGTGGGATGCCAACCCACACGTACATAAGTATATGTAGGTGCATGATTTCATTTTTCACGAAATAATTTTAAAATGATATCATTATTTTTAGGTTCCTCTTCCACAGTTGGGATTTGAAGAGCCAGAGAGAATTTGCAACAATTGTCTTGAAGTCACATCTCTTGTGACCAAATCAAGGTCACTCCAGATGGTGAGGTTATATTAATGAACTTAGTACCCTGGGTGCCAGATTGGGGGGAAGGAGAGTGGTATGTTAATTATTGTGAGCAATATAAGTGCTTTTCTCCATTGGTGAAAAGATGCTTTATGTGTTTTACCATGACATTGTACCTTTGTAGTATTCTTTTGATTGTAATTTTAATGTTATGCCTTGGTTCTATCTGGTTTTGCCTGTGATTTGTTGTTTCCTCTGTCAATTTGAACTTGAGCCACAGAAAAAACTCCAGATTGATCAATGTGAAATGTTTCCTTGTTTTTTCCAAAAGAAGCTCTGCTTTGGTTTTGCTTTATTGTTGTAATAATTTTTCCACGCTGTCTGAGTGAATTTGACATTTATTAAGACTGAAGGTCATTTTATTTAGGCCTTACTTCCTTTTATGCTTGTTAGAAGTAAGAACTTAATGACCCAATTCCTGGTTACCGGATGGTTCCTGGTTGGTTGGACAACAAAGAACAAACCACAGCAAACCCCCCAGTTTGATCTCTTTCTTTATTGGCATTAGTTGATCTTGACTTTGTATTGAGGTTGTAACAAGAAATTGTGAGTTGTGAATTAATTTTTATTAGTAAAGAAGACTTTTTGTTTCAAATATTGACTAGTTTTTGTACCATTTCTTCCTAGTCATTCAAGCTGGAAGCAGCTAAAGGTCTTTCAGAATTGTGTAAGGACCCTGCCGGACTGACAAAGGTGAAAAAGAGTTGATTTTCAATTCTACAGATATCTTTGGTGTGACTGATAGAACTGAAGTTAATGGTATTGGCCCATCAATTGTTTTGTTAACATCTACAGTGTATGGCTGGACTTTGTATGAAATACCATGTGTCTTGTGCTTATGGTAGATTTCATGAAAAATCTGCAGAGCCCAGTGTTTATTCCAGCTATTTTCTAGAGTGGGACAGATGATGGAATTTAGATATTCATGCAACGAAAGCATACAGTAATGACTGCAAATGCATTCCAAACTCATTGTCCTTTGGGTGGCAATCCTTTCGTTTCAGAGGACCTAGATTTGTCTTTGTGGATAATGGGTATTTATACAACACTTGTAGCATGATATCACACACTGTTTGGGTTAGTCTCTAACCCCGGTTAGTAACGTCTGGTCTGCAAAGCAGTGCCAAGATCCTTGTTCCAACCCCCCAGCGGACTCAACAAATTACCAGAAGTGCATTTCGAATTTCCCCTTAACCTGATCGGCAAATGGACAATGGCTTTTCTAACAGGCCCAATCATGATGCATACTCAAATCCTGGTACACGAGGGCTCAGAACCACAATTTCAATACTGGTTCGCAGACAGACTAGTAACCAGAGGATGAGTTTTATCTGTGGCGCAGGCCATGTGTTGATAATCAGTCGACTTTACTTATCAGGTTGTTGAAATGGGCGGAGTCCAGACACTGATATTTCTCAGTCAAAGTGGAAATGACGAAGTAAAAGTAAGTTCATATAGATCTACCGGTACTTTATTTTATGGTCACTTTTTGGCTCTGTTCACCTGGCATTGGACAATATTTTTCAACCGGTTTCACGAAAAACTGTGTGTTTAGGTGTTCCATTCACGCTGAAACACTTTAACCACTCAAAAATTTAGAAGCCTAGTCGTTCTAATTTCCATGTGAACAGAACAAAAATATGGAATGGTCCTGTGTGAACGAAGTGTTCTGTCAAATTTTTCAGCTGCTAAAAAAATTTGTCCAGTGCCATGTGAATGTACCCTTGTTTAACTGCTGGGTTTTATTTTCAGTTTTACTTGTTAAAAATTACTGCAAAACCTAACTGAATGAGACTTGCTAAGGTTGTTGAGAATGTAGGCTAAATATGAATGCCATCCAGTGCTGCATTGATTATGAATGCTGTGCTTACGATTATAAATGGCAACAGCTTCTTGGTGGTTTGTTTTATCAGAGTTCTGCTGTTACCTTTCTGTTTTTAACCTCAACCTGTGTTGCTTCTATTGTAGGCTGCAGTTGCTTCAGGACTTCAGATACTTTCCACTCATCCCCCACTACATTCAATGCTGGCCAAGTGTGGTGGCATTAAAGCATTGTGTAGGTAGGATATACACTATGTATGTGCTGTTTAGTAAAGTTCAATTCAATATTGTCACTGTGATCATAATGATCCCTGACAAAAGGCCAGAGATCTCAACCATTGTGGGGATTGTGGTGACCATTATTGAAAGCAGCCTAGAACTGAAGCCTAGATCTCTCAGTGGTCAGTTGCAATGATCGCTGTGATTGCTACGATGGTGGTTCATATAGACATGTTTCCAGTTAACCTTTGTGATTGCTGAGCTTTTATTCAGTGTTCCTAGCTACCACATTAAGTTGTGGAGCTTATCCCCGTTTCCTTAGCTTGAAGCATGCTCAGGAGTATTGCTATTCATTCCCGCCTGGGCGGGGTGCTAGTCCATCGCATGGTTACCCCCCAGCAGTATGTCGCCAGTACCCATTTATACACCTGGGTGAAGAGAGACAAAGTGGAGTAGAGTTCCTTGTCTAAGGAAACGTGACAGGTGAGGCTCCTGGACCCCCAGATCAGGAGTTTGAGGTGTTAACCACTCAGCCACAGACGCCTCCATAGTGTGGTCTATTCTAATTTGATGTCATTAACTAATTTTCTGCAGCATTCTTTCAACTGTCAATGAGAGTCAGGAGCAGACGCTGATTTACGGGATCAGTGCTCTGATGATATTTTGCAAAAGGTCACCTGAACTAAAAGCACAGGGTCAGTAAAAGAGGTGTTCAAGATTCCTAACACTTAATGAGTGTAACAATAGGTTATAACTTTACCATAATCATTACGTTGCAGGGATTCCCCCTGATTACTACATGACCCCTGGCTACTTTTATTAATAGATATAGGATTAAAAGAAACTTCCTACCGATTCATTTCCCCAACTATATATGCCGCAAGTTGAAATTTTAGTGACACTTCTTTTGTTTTACATCAGACTTGACCATCTCCTTGTAAATCAGAGAATTTTGAGATAAAGGATATGTTTTAAGGTGGACATATAATGGCTTTATGTTTCGTTTTCAATTCTTTTGCTTTTTAGACTTACATTTAAAGGAAAACTAATCAGGATGCTTGTTTTCTGTTTTGTAGCATTAGCAGATGGTGCTCTAGATTCAGTTCTAACTGTATGTGCAATGAAAGAAGCCTTAGCCCTTCTTGCTTTGATGACGTTGAGTTACATTGTTGAACATCAGGGAAACCTTGCACCCGGCCTTATAGAGGTCAGCATTGTTTTTTGCATTTTGTTCCTTTAAACCTAATATCCACATGTATACCTGTATTCTGTGCATTGTTCTCCATACATTTCATGGATCATTATTCACGTTTCTGAGAAACTGCCCACCTACCCCTCCCCTAAGCCAACAATTTGTCCTAAGTGAGAAGTAAGTGTTAATGTTGGCTTAGGGGAGGGGTAGGTGGGAAGTTTCCCAGAAACGTGTGTAATGATCTATGAAATGCATGGTGCTGGTTAGGCAAATTTGTTTAACAATCCAGACATTTTTTACTTTGGTGATCATTTTCTATATACTCATCACCTTTATGTGTGGTCTAGCAGTGACATCCTTGGGAGAAAATGGGTGCTAGTCATTCTAAGTTAGTTTAAGGTGTATAAGGATGTTGAACATTATCAGTATTGAGTTCAGTATTGTGAAACAAGGCAGGTTTTTTAAATTTTCATTAGTAATTAACATAAAATCAAATGAGAAGCAATTTTCTTTTCTGCAGAGTAACAGGAATGCGCTACCAAGAATTTTAGCATTGACAAAGGCACAAGATGAAAAGGTGCATTTTAATGAAACAATATATAATCCAAACTACAGCTCATTACTGTTATTAAAATATGAAAATATATATATCTAGACTCTTGTTTTAATTAGTGTCTTCGTGTACAAAAATTTTGAGTGTCAGGTGTACTGTCTAGGTTCTGCTTGTCTCTTCCTCCATAACATCTTATAACATCTTACAAAGACAAACAGTAAAAGAAACTGAATTTTAAACATCTGCTCTGTTATGTTTATTATGTACTAATGGTAATACTGTCGAGCCTCCACATGCAACCTCCTCCTGTAAGCAACCACCAAACTTTCCGAGTCAAGCCCAACTGTAAATCCTCTATTAAGCCCCCCTCTCAAATAAGCCCCTTCTCTCTAATGAGCCCCCCTTTTCAGCAGAAGAAAGTTAATAACCCCGCCCACTAGAGTCTCCGTGAGAGTAGCCTGATCCTCAGACGTCCGAGGTCATTCGCGGCTCCTTTGCTTCTCTCAGACATCCCAGGTCGTTCGCAGCCCCTTCGCTTCCCTCCCTCTACTGTCTGATATTCTCTGTGTGCCTAGTCGTGTTCACGACGTCAGAGAAGCAAAGGGGCTGCAAACGACCTCGGACGTCTAAGAATAAGGCTACCCTGTGAGTTGATTCTCAGAAATGACCACCTCTTATAGGTGACCACTTAGACTTTCAAAAAAGTCCTTCATGGAATTTAATTGGCCTAAAAAAGCTTGCTGCAGTCGCAAAAATCATGAGGTCAACTTGTACCAAGTCTAGTGACCACGTAATCCTTGCATTTTGGGCGGTGGCTTACAGGAAGTTTGGCTGTATTATTGTTTTTAGATTCAAGAAATATCATTAAGGATTTTGGCACAGATGTCTGTGGGAACAGATTGGCAGAGGCACTGCATCGTTCAGGTAGAGGCCACGATGTTTGTGATTGATGGTCGGAGTAAATTTATGATAACTTTTTAAAATTTTTCATGAATTTTTGATGTGATAGTCTCTGCATGCTTTCTTTAGGAAGACTTCTCAGCTGGGCGATGCCTAGTGGAAGCTTTGACAAAGGGACCAAAAAATCTTCAAGTATGTCAGTTATACCACTTGTTTTTAGTAGTTAATAATAATAATAATCAAAAATTTATAACGTGCCTTTTCCATGCAAATATGATCAAAAGCGCGTAATAGTTGGAAATATGGCCGGAGAACTCTAAAATTACATGACAAGAGGGTTGTCCAGTACCATAAATCCTCTATTAAGTTACTGGGAGGCTTATTTATTTCAAGTGTGCTTACGGGGGCTTAATGGAGAGGGAGAGCTCACTATTTGACAGGGAGGCTTACTTAATTTAACAAAGATGACGAAATCAATTTTTCATAAAAGGGGAGGGGAAGGCTTAATAGAGAGGGGAGCTTATTATCTTTCTTTCCCTGTAAATGGGGGGGAGCTGATTAGATAGGCAGACTTATTTGAGAGGGAGGAGGGGACTTAATAGAGAATTAATTTTTCATTTATGTAACATTATTATATATAACCAGTTTCAATTTGTCTTTCTCAAGGTGCTAGTCAATGCTTCATGTCTGATTGCAAATCTTGCAACAGGAGACCAAGACCAGGTTTGTTATGTATACCAGGCATAGCAATTTAGAGACATGGTATAATGTAGCCCTACTAAGTAGTACTTTTTGTGTCATAATGTTTATTATGCTATACAAGGTGATTCTATTACTTTTGAGTCTGTGGACAAAATCTTAAAGTTATACCTATCAATGAATGCTAGTGAGCAACTACTTTCCTGTGGTACTGTTTTTTTTTTTTGTACTGTAAAAGGTGCATAATATGTAGTCACTGCTACTTGTAAATGTAGTTCTTTGGTGGGACCATTCAAATGAAAGCTACTGAGCAGTACGTTTTTGTGGTACAGTTCATTGATAAGCTATTCAAGGTGGTTCTAACTTCTGAGTCTGTGAACAAAATCCTAAAGTAAGCCAATGCTAAAGGCAAAGCTCCTGTTAACATGGATGTGCATGCAATAGCTGGGTTCAGGAGTACTTTCACCTTTCAGTAAATATTAATTTTACTTTGTGAAGTATTTTTTTGCACTTGAGTATGAAGTACATGGAGGAAGTGCTGATTATTGTTTTTGTTTTAGATGTCCCTGCAGGATTGTTTACAAGCCATGTGTTCATTGACCTCATCACACACAGCACACAAAGATATTCAGGTATCAGATATAATGTACCTTTACATGGTGAATTAAAGTGCAAAATTACTTAGTAACTTGCCAGTTATATAAGTGCAAAATTAAAAAGTCTTCCAAAAATGACAAATGTCTATGTTATTTAAGTGTATTAAAAGTCACATACAATTTCTCAGGGAAAAGCAACCTTAAGATATTGGCTGGTCACTTACCATTGAGGGATTTGGACACTTAATTAACTACAACGACAGTTACATTAATAATAATTAATTTCTTTATATGTTTAATGCCCCCATACATGTGACATGCATGGTACAAATATGCCACAAACATCAGGTATGAATCACAGATAACTGGCTCCCTGAAAACAGGGTAAAACTTAGATTTTTTTTTTACTTTTTTATGGATATACTCACCCAAATAAAAATCTAATTTAGTTATTGATAATTGCCATTTGTATGTTTGTTTATCTTATGATAGAATTAGTTATTAATTGAGTCTTTTCCTTTGAATCAGTCCTTTTTTCATATTTTTGTCCAAGAGCACAGATCGGGAGATAAAAATTAAGAATATTCTGCAATCCCTTAATTGGTTTTCGTTCCATTTAACCTGGTACATTTACCTTTAATTTAGAGCCAAGAGGGTTTATGTCACATTTAATTTCAGTTAAAATCTACTAGAATTACTATTTAGTATCAATTTTTAATGCTATTTATGGGTTCTTTTACATTAGGAACATTTTAGTATTTTAGTATTTTAGACTTTTAATTATTAATCTTTTCAATGTACCTCCCAGACCCATGTATCCAGAGGACTTGGAAACTTTGCAAAGTTCCATCAAAATTCTTCAATCCTGGTAAGATTTTACTGGATAATTTTAAAAATTAAAAATCTCATTTTTGCCATGCCTGCCAAATCTTCCCTATTAAGTCATGTTTACACCTGCAGATTGAAAACTTCAATCCACTAGCTCACAAATGTGTAAGATAACTGTGCTTTTTGAGAAAACTCCAAAGTTCAAAAGCCAACAAATGTTTTTGTTCTTTACTGCCGTCAATTATTTTGTTCACTGTCGCCATCAATCATCTTAGCGGACCTCTAGGGAAACAGACCTTTGCTTCAACAAGTTCAAAAGGTCATAGTTTGTCATTTGTAATTGGTGGATTTCAATCCCTTTTGTTAGTTTTCTGTGTTTCGAGGTTAGTTGCCTGTTATTGTATTAAATAACGATTGACAAGGGCAAAAAATACAATAAAATTATTGCAAGCTGGCTTTTAAAGTTCAGAGTTCATGTGTTGTTGAAAAGTGCAGTAAGTAAAATGAACTGCATAGAACCAATGTGAAATTTCATGTGAATGTTTTGTCCCTTCCCTGAAATCTGAAGCTTAGAACTTCAGAAATCTTTGGTGGAAAAGGAATGTCTTTCGAAAATCCTGGCACTAACAGGATAAAAATCTCATGCCTTGCATCCAGAGAAAGTGGCATTTACATAATCATATGTTGCGGTATTAAGAAGGTAGTTTGATTTTTACTAGTCAGTGCCGCATGCAGACCTTGAGGTAGGGGCCGGCGGGGGGCAGTCATCCAGACCCTTAGATAAGTGCCCCCCCCCCCAATTTTTTTTCGACCTTTCGGGCCTCAGTTTCGTCTTAAAATTTAGGAGGGACCACCTCCCCTGGATCCACCACTGCTGGTATCTAATTTTTCTCATTTTTTTTTTCAGATTGACTATCTTCCAAGCATTGTAGAGACACACCTCAAGGTACTTGGTACAAAATTAGATACTTTGTTTTCAAGGATGAGTGGTAGCTCTTTGCTCCAATGTTAGCATTATGTTTGTATAGTCAACAGATAATGCAATCAAATGCCACGGACTAAGGACAGTCATGTATCTTATCAGTTATCAGAAAGAGAGAGCTGTGGATGTGTTATTAAGGTATGGACATGTGGATGCTCTTGATTAAACACACCTGGCCCTGATTGTTCAAGCATTGGATAGCAATCACCATTGGATCCGGCCCAGTGGATACATATTAGGAGAGCCAATTGTGCCATCCACTGAATAGAAATTTAATATCAAAATAAATTTATAGACATTTATCCAGTAGATAACATTATCCACCTTTTGAATAACTGGGGCCAGTTCTTAAACCAAACAACAACAATTTTTATATTAAAAGAGTCAGAGCGATGATCATTTAACATTTAAAAGCCGTTAATGTGCTAAAAAATGTAGTCAATGTAGATATTATTTAATTTAAAGGTTCCTATGTCTCCCTAATTTTGCTAAGATAGAATCGTAAATGTCTGGATGGTGTAAATTACCAAGCTGAACCAAGGTTTTTCTTATTATCTTCGAGTAAATGCCACATTCTTCTGGTTAGGTGCAGCATTTATTGGTAATTTTGCTTCCATCTGTGGCATTTGATCTTGGGTGGCATTTATTCGAGGGTGGTATTTAATCGAATAAATACGGTAATCTCGATCATGGTCATAATTATTAATTATCATTAATTAGATTAAAGGACACATACATATGCAAATTCAGGCAATTTGAGGCAATAAAAGTCACCTTAAATTTACATCAGCCCTTTCATACCAAGTATTGTTGCAAATTTTTTTGTGATACAACTTTTTAATACCTCATTTTGAACACATGCATTAGATATGTACTTGGACCTTGAAAGATTTCATGGGCTTAGTCATGTATCTTTATTTTCATTGCCATTTTCAGGGAAGGTGCTCATGAAGTTCTCACAAGTCTTGGCACTTTCAATGGAATTGTTGATGCAGTTGAGACTTGTTTGCTTAAAATTGTACCCACCCGTAGTGATTGTACTATTACAAAGTGATAATAGCCTTTTGGACATGACATCTCTATATTTTGAATATTCAGTATTCTAATAGTTAGTGGTTATATATAATTATTGTCAATATTACATTTTTACAAATTTAAATTATATTCATGACTTGTAGACATCTCACTAATTTAAGACAGACAATTTGAGATAATCTTAAGGATTTTCTTTACTTTTAACCCTTTAAACACTGACTTCAAAGTTCAAATTCTCATTTGTTGCCCCTGAACATTCCTGTAGGATTAGTGGGGAGATGTTGTAAAAGCATCAGTTAAATTCACCTTGTGTGATCATTTTCCTTATAATTCTCCTGACTACTCTGTGTAATAAAGCAATAATTGATATTATAAGGGGAAATGTGAAGCTGATCACATAAAAAAATGTAGCTAGCCAGGAAAGTAACTTGCCCGAGGCCAAAAACTACTTGTCCCGGATGAATGTACAGGACTTTTTTAAGCCTTGTTACTTCAAGAGGTTTTTCTCTGGGTGAAATGGTTTTCCCATCTCTTAAAAAACCAACACTTCCAAATTCCAATTTTACCAGACTCACAAAGACTCACAAGACTCACAAACCTGCTCTAAACAGGTTTCCTTGGAGTTTCTAATTAAGAGTTTTGTATGTAAACAAATAACATTTTAAATTACATTATTTTAATAATTACAAATAACAATTTTATAATTGATGGACACTTAGAGCAGGTCCCTATGGTGTCCATTTTAGAGAGAGCTCACTTAGATCTTGAGGCTTTGTCATGTTGACCATTACTTAATGTTTTTACTGTCAATTGTCCAGGCATACAGGTATCCTATGCACTAAAAAACGCATTTGTGCTGTTTAGCCTGTTGGCAGTATTCTTATAAATATGGTTATTGTGTTATTTTTTATTGAAGTCAGAAATAAGGTTGTACAAATAGTTTTTATGAATAAATATATGAGTCATTTTTATTTTTTATCAATTTAGTGATTATTTAGTTTAGACAACTATATATAAAAAGTCCAGTGTATGATTACATCTGTGGTTGGTTGAATCAGTTTTGATTCAGAGTTTTCTTTGTTTTCTAGTCCTAATAATTCCGAGCAGACAAAAAAAATTCTGGTATGACAGATTTTTCCTGCATGTACAAAAGTCTTTTCGCTAGACAATCATATTCAACTTACTCGATAAGAAGTGGGGCAAACATTTGAGCTTTAGTGTTGTCAGTAACTCTCAGGACAACATGAGGCAGTATGTTTTGGCATTGGAGCTATTCTAGAAAATTCAAAGTGGTAGGGGAGGGGGAGCATGGGGCACATCCCTTCTGTGGTGGGGGTATGTTTTTTTTTTTTAATCAGCTTGGGAGGAGGGTATGTATTGGGACTGGAGCTTTCCTGAAAAATCCAAAAGGGTAGGATGGAGGAGGAGGAGGAGGGGGGTGGCATGTGGCAAATCCCTTTCATGGTGGGGGTAAGGGTCGTTTCTTGAACAAGCTGGGGACTTGAGGAACAACATGCTATGCATATTTTTCAAGTCATGATTGCAGTGACATTGTAAGATTACTTGAATTAATTGCATTCGTCTAGGGAAATATAATATGTGACATGATTTTAAAGCATTTCTCATTCAGGTCATTTTATTTAGTGAGGGAGTTCCTATATGAACATAATAACCATTTTTATACCGTATCCCGTGTGGGCTTGTGCAACTAAAAAAAAAAACAACCAAATGGAGAAGAATTATGTAAACTTCACTCTAAACTGCTGAAGTATGTTCATGGAAATCCTTTGACATTAAATCAATGACTTTAAAACATTATAAAAATAGCAGCAATATTAGCAGTGATATTTTATATTGGTCTTATGACTTGTTGATGGGCCAAATGTGTTCTCTCAATGATCCAGGTCATACCAAATTTATTTTAATCCCAAGCACTTTTAGAAAACAAACCATTACATGTATATATATATATATGGTACGCTGATTTATAAATTTGATTGGATGAATATCACGTCACCATTTAAAAATAAAATAATATTGTTAAAGAAAAGATGTTAGTATCTGTCTGCATGATCAAGAACTGGTGTTTTGTGAAGAAGCAACAATGCAGCAATATATTATGATGCATTCATACATTTTGCTAAAAGGTCAAGGAGATAAACTTCACATGGTTATTGATAACAATAATGTTGAAACTTTTTTTAATTAACCTTTTTATATTAACAAAGAATGAACTACCAAACTTTCTTGCTTGACCATCATGCAGTGTTGCTGGTTTAGGCTGTCAATGCAGATGTAGTTCCAGTCGTCAGAAATGCGTCTGGGTTTGCAAGCTAAATACGTGTATGAGGGGTGGTAAAATAATAAGAGATTTGTGAGAATTGGAAAATTTTGTGCTGATTTGGAAAACTTGAACACGTTTGTGATGAGTCACGAAGTGGTGGGATATGCCCATCATCAAAATTAATTATAATCACAACATTCTCTGGCACAATGACTGTGCTTAATTCTCTCAGTCTACAGGTTTGTTTGTAAGGGTTTTGAGATGATGAGACAAGGAAATAAATTTTTAACCTGTCACTGGAAAAAAATTTAATTCAACAAAGTAATGCCTGCTGGAATATAAAATACATGGCTTCTCTTAAACCGTGATTTCTGCTAACCCAGATTAATTCTTGGTTGTCGTTTTTTCATCACCAGCTAGAGATACCTCTGCCATGCTCTGCGTTCGTGAACGACCTCAAATGATTTTGTTTCAAGCCTTTTCAATCATTGTGCAAATGCAGCGCGCAGCCGTTGTGTCAGCTGCATAGAATTTTGAATTTTTAAAAAAATTTAACCTGCAAAGTTTTTCAACGTGACCTTGTCGCTGGTTTATACTTGCACAAACCTGCATGTGTGACCACTTCTCTAAAAGTCTTAGACTGTCCAAAAGCCCGAAACTACCTCCTCTCGGGGATATGGAAGTTTAGGAATCTGTCCTTTCCTATCCTCCAAAACACCAATGTTAGTTTCCCAATGCAGGCTACAGTTTCCCTAAACACTATACATGGAGTCCCTATGAAAATTATCCTGGGGAAACGGTTCCTTGGACAAGCGTCATGACTATTTTCATCATGAATCTTATTAACGATCGCACAAACAAACAAACCAACCAAAAAGTTTCAACATTTAGCGTGACTGTGTAAGTCACGCAATGATCCTATCACCTGATCGAGGTAGGCTGGACACAAAGGAGTTCAACATGGCGCGAGGAACCAGCAAAATTCGTCTCTACGACAGAGACGTTTTTCCTGCAGCAACCGAGGGTCCTGCTAATGTATTTTCAAGTATACCATTTCTTCTAGTGAAGTCCAGGTAAGAAACTAAGTAACAGAATCGTCAAACGATCTTTTCCCGCCAAAACAGTTGCTGTTTCCGTCCTAACTCTCTCATTACTTGTCAGAATGGCGAATTATTTGAAGCCTTCCAGCTAGACTTCAAAGCTCCTTTAAGCGAGCTAATGCTCAAGTGATTATTTTTGTTATGTCAGGTTATTTTCAAGTTATCGCCGATAAGGGTTTGATCGAGGCCGTGCAGCAAGAACCCTCTTTGGTGTTTACAAAATTGATCTTATTATCTGTCGTAATAATTAAGCTTAAATGCTTGTAGGTTTTTATTGGAGGCTGCAATTGAAAACAGATCAAAATGCTTCACGAAAAGATTCAATGTTTTCTTTATTTAATCAAAACCGTGACTAAATTAAGCTTAATTCTTTCAGTTTTTTGGTTGTTTGAGGGACAAAGGTTAAACTGTCTTAAAAGTTGATAAGACGGTAAATTTACCAGTCAATTCCACAACCGCCCATCTTGGTCACGTGACCAGCTACGAACTTACTCATTTTAAGAAAATGGTGCGGGTTTGAAAAACCAAATAACTATTATTTTGTTTAAGATATGACCCCCGAATCGTTTTTCGAAGGCAAAATCATATAACTTTCATTTTCATAAAAACGATGTCACGTGACCTCTTAGTGCAAATGGCCTATTTGACTGGTGTTTTGCTCCATACAGTGGGGAATCTGACCCAAAGTGAGGCCTGCCTAGTTGAGCATTTGACTTTTGTGTCAAATCTGTGGTCAGCATCGCAAGCAAAAGGATTTGTAATTCTTTCTGCATTCATGGGTCATTGCTCCTATATTCACTGTTTCGTTGGAGCCTTTGAAAATGCCTGTTAAATGTGGGCTTTCTGGAAAGACCAATATTACAGCTTTCTGAGACTTGGCGAATAGCGAATGGGCTATTGACTCAGAGGCCATGAGGGTAAGAGGAATAATTGTTTGAGTAAAATCCAACTTGTTGGTCAAAAATATCGAGAATAAAAAAATTCTAGCTAGGTAAAAGCTAGACTTAAATCCTTTTTTGCCACCAAAAAGCCGGCACCTTTCGCTACTAGTGGGCTATAAGATATAGCCTAGTAGTAGCTCAACCAATCAGAATGCAGCATTGATAATAGACCACTAGATCGAGCACTAGTTGGATTTTACTAATGAAATATTATTACTGTGTTAAAGGTGGATTGCAGATGATGCTGCACAGGTCTGCCCTCTTTGTTCACAGAAGTTCACCCAGATTCGTAGAAAACACCATTGTCGTCAGTGTGGCCAAGTCCTTTGTAGCAAGTGCTGTAATGAGAAGGTAAATCAGCAGTTGCATCTTTCTCTTACAATTAAGACACTTTAACCCTTTAAGCCCCAATATCCACATACAAATTCTCGGAACTGATCTCTATACATTTTCTTAAAGAATAAGTAGAGAGAATTTGATGAAAGATCAAAGCATTTTCTCTTAGGTGATCAATTTATTAATTCTTATAACCAAATCACCTGACAATCGATAGATATGGTTAGGAGAAAATTGATCTTGGTCACCATTGGGACTTAAAGGGTTAAAGGGCTATGTACGTCACGCTATTTGCCCCAGCTTTGAGATGAATGCCCTTACTGATCACTAGTAAGATGCGCACTTAGTCACATTTGCACAGTATGCATGCCCACTAAAGATTGTCTTCAAATCCTGCCGGCTCAAAGCAAGAATTTTTGCATTTATTACATTGTGTGCTTTGAATCTGTTGCCATCTTGGACCAAATTTATATCATGGCAGGGATGAGGTCTGGCAATGTCAGGTGGCCCCTGGAAGCCTGGCGACTTGCTTTTGGCCTTGGGTGACTAATAAATCTTAGTGTCTGCACACAACTTATATGATGGGGTGTCTGAATTTCCTAATTTCAGGGGCCCATTTCTCCAAAGTTCGGGTAACTTTTTGGCCCTGAAATGAAATTAATATTCAAATCAAAATCTACAGAATAAAAGTGCAGGTCCTAGCTAGCAAACCAGTCTATTTAGTTAGTTAACCCTTTAAGCCCCAATAGTCACTCACATCCAATTTCTCCCAATAATCAGACTGTCTGATCAAACAGACAGGTCATGAGAATGAATAAAATGATCACCAAAGATGAAATGTTGTGATGTTAGAACAAATTCTTTCAAGTATTACCATAAGGAATGTATGACGAACAGTGAGGAGAAGATGCATGTTGATATAGGGGCTTAAAGGGTTAACTGATACATGTAGGTTTGTCATATAAATTATAGATCTGCAAAACTGTTGTAACCTCAAACTTTAATATAAACAACAACAGCTTTCCTGGCCCATAAATTATCGTGATTTTCAAGAAATCATGGGCCCCAGAGCTTTTAAGCTCTCAACAATAACAGCATAGCCTTTCTATGCCAGAAGAGGGATGCCAACCCACACATACATACTGTAAATACTTGTAGTTGATTTTGTTTTTCAAAAAATAATTTTTTAAATAATATCATAATTTTTAGGTTCCTCTTCCACAGTTGGGATTTGAAGAACCAGAGAGAATTTGTGATAATTGTCTTGAAGTCACATCTCTTGTGACCAAATCAAGGTCACTCCAGATGGTGAGGTTATATTAACGAACTTAATACCCCGGGTGCCAGGTTGGGGGGAGGGAGAGTGGCATGTTATTATTGTGAGCAATATGCGTGCTTTTCTTCATTCTTGGAAAGATGTTTATGTGTTTTACCATAGTGTACCATCGTAGTATTCTTATGGTAGTGATGCTATGCCTTGGTTCTACCCCATTTTTTCTTGTGATTTGTTGTTTTCTCTGTAAATTTGAACTCAAGCCACAGAAAAAACTCACATTGCGAGTTAAATATTACAGTATGTCTAACAGATTGATTAATGTGAAATATTTCCTTGTTTTTGTCCAAAAGAGTCTCTGATTTGTTTTTGATTTGGATTTTTGTAACAATTTTTTCCATGCTGTCTGAGTGAATTTGACATTTATTAAGACTGAGGGTCACTTTAATAAGGCCTTACTTCCTTTTATGCTTGTTAAAAGTAAGAACTTAATGACCCAATTCCTGGTTACCAGATGGTTCCTGGTTGGTTGGACAACAAAGAACAAACCACAGCAAACCCCCCAGTTTGATCTCTTTCTTTATTGGCATTAGTTGATCTTGACTTTGTGTTGAGGTTGTAACAAGAAATTGTGAGTTGTGAGTTAATTTATATTAGTAAAGAAGACTTTTTGTTTCAAATATTGACTAGTTTTAGTACTGTTTTTTCCTAGTCATTCAAGCTGGAAGCAGCTAAAGGTCTTTCAGAATTGTGTAAAGACCCTGCCGCACTAACAAAGGTGAGAAAGAGTTGATTTTCAATTCTACAGAAAGAAAATTACTTGCTGTTAAATATCTGTGTGAAATGTAAGAATTCTTTGGCGTGACTGATACAACTGAAGTTAATGGGATTGGCCCATCGATTGTTTTCTTAACATCTATGTCTGGATTTTGTATGAAATACCATGTGTCTTGTGCTTATGGTAAATTTCAGGAAAAATCTGCGGAGCCCAGTGTTTATTCCAGCTATTTTCTACAGTGTGGCTGATGATGGGATTTAGATATCCATGCAAGAAAGCCTAGAACAATGACTGCAAATGCATTCCAAACTCATTGCCCTTTGGGTGGCAATCCTTTCTTTTCAGAGGACCTAGATTTGTCTTTGTGGATAATGGATATTTATACAACACTTGTAGCATGATATCGCACACTGTTTGGGTTAGTCTCTAACCCCGGTTAGTAACGTCTGGTCTGCAAAGCAGTGCCGAGATCCTTGTTCTGGCACCCAGCGGACTCAACAAATTACCAGAAGTGCATTTCAAATTTCCCCTCAACCTGATTGGCAAATGGACAATGGCTTTTCTAACAGGCCCAATCATGACGCATACTCAAATCCTGGTACATGGGTGGGGGCTCAGAGCCACAATTTTAGTGCTGATAATTTGCAGACAGCCTTAACCAGAGGTTGAGCTTTGTCTGTGGCGGAGGCTATGTGTTGATAATCAGTCGACTTTACTTATCAGGTTGTTGAAATGGGCGGAGTCCAGACACTGATATTTCTCAGTCAAAGTGGAAATGACGAAGTAAAAGTAAGTTCACATAGATCTACTTTATTTATGGTCACTTTTTGGCTGTGTTCACACGGCACTGGACAAATTTTCAACCGGTTTCAAGAAAAACTGTGTGTTTAGGTGTTCCATTCACGCTGAAACACCTTAACTGCACGAAAATTTAGAAGCCTAGTCGTCCAAATTTCTATGTGAACAGAACAAAAATATTGAATGGTCCTGTGTGAATGAAGTGTTCTGTCAAATTTTTCAGCCAGTAAAAAAATTTGTCCAGTGCCGTGTGAATGTACCCTTGTTTTAATAACTGCTGGGTTTTATTTTCAGTTTTACTTGTTAAAAATCACTGCAAAACCTAACTGAATGAGACTTGCTAAGGTTGTTCAGAGTGTAGGCTAATAATACGAATGCCATCCCAGTGCCGTGTTGATTATGAATGCTGTGCTTGCGATTATAAATGGCAACAGCTTCTTGGTGGTTTGTTTTATCAGAGTTCTGCTGTTATCTTTCTGTTTTCAACCCCAACCTGTGTTGCTTCTATTGTAGGCTGCAGTGGCTTCAGGACTTCAGATTCTTTCCACTCATCCCCAGCTACATTCAATGCTGGCCAAGTGTGGTGGCATTAAAGCATTGTGTAGGTAGGATATACACTATGTATGTGCTGTTTAGTGAAGTTCAATTGAATATTGTCACTGTGATCATAATGATCCCTGACAAAAGGCCAGAGATCTCAACCATTGTGGGGATTGCAGTGACCATTATTGAAAGCAGCCTAGAACTGAAGGCTAGATCTCTCAGTGGTCAGTTGCAATGATCGCTGTGATTGCTACGATGGTGGTTCATAGAGTTGTTTCCAGTTAACCTCTGTGATTGCTGAGCTTTTATTCAGTGTTCCTAGCTACCACATTAAGCTGTGGAGCTTATCCCAGTTTCCTTAGCACGAAGCATGCCCAGGAGTATTGCTATTCATTCCCCTTTGAACGGGATGCTAGTCCATCGCATGGTTACCCCCCAGTAGTACGTCGCCAGTACCCATTTATACACCGGTGAAGAGAGACAAAGTGAAGTAGAGTTCCTTGTCTAAGGAAACGCGACGGGTGAGGCTCCTGGACCCCCAGATCAGGAGTTTAAGGTGTTAACCACTCGGCCACACCCGCCTCCATAGTGTGGTCTATTCTAATTTGATTTCATTAACTAATTTTCTGCAGCATTCTTTCAACTGTCAATGAGAGTCAGGAGCAGACACTGATTGATGGGATCAGTGCTCTGATGATATTTTGCAAGTCACCTGAACTAAAAGCACAAGGTCAGTAAAGGAGGTGTTCAAGTTTCCAAACACTTAATGAGTGTAACATTAGGTTATAACTTTACCATAATCATTACATTGCAGGGATTCCCCCTGACTGCTACATGACCCCTGGCTACTTTTATTAATAGATATAGGATTAAAAGAAACTTCGTAGCTATTCATTTCGGTAACTATACACCCAGCAAGTTGAAATTTTAGTGACACTTCTTTTGTTTTACATCAAACTTGACCATCTCTTTGTAAATCAGAGAATTTTGAGATAAAGGATATGTTTTAAGGTGGACATATAATGGCTTTATGTTTTCGTTTTCAATTCTTTTGCTTTTCAGGCATAAAAGAAAACTAATCAGGTTGTTTTTTTTCTGTTTTGTAGCCTTAGCAGATGGTGCACTAGATCCAGTTCTAACTGTATGCGCAATGAAAGAAGCCTTAGCACTTCTTGCTTTGATGACGTTGAGTCACATAGTTGAACATCAGGGAAACCTTGCACCCCTTATAGAGGTCAGCATTGATTTTGCGTTTTGTTCCTTTTAATGTAATATCCTCATACCTGTATTCTCTGCACTGTTCTCCATACATTTCATGGATCGATCATTATACACGTTTTTTGGGAAACTGCCTACCTACCCCTCCCCTAAGCCAACACTTCGCCCTAAGTGAGAAGTAAGTGTTAATGTTGGTGTAGGGGAGGGGTAGGTGAGCAGTTTCCCAGAAATGTATAACGATCCCATTTCCTTTGGTGCTGGTGAGGCGAATTTGTTTAACAATCAAGACAATTTTTTTTTGGTGATCATTTTCTATATACTCATGAATCACCTTTATGTGTGGTCTAGCAGTGATATACTTGGAAGAAAATGTCTGCTAGTCATTCTAAGTTAGTTTAAGGTTTATATGGATGTTGAACATTATCAGTATTGGTTGCACTTAGTACTGTGAAACAAGGCAGGTCTTAAATTTTCATTAGTAATTAACATAAAATCAAATGAGAAGCAATTTTCTTTTCTGCAGAGTAACAGGAATGCTCTACCAAGAATTTTAGCATTGACAAAGGCACAAGATGAAAAGGTGAATTTTAATCAAACAATATATAATCCAAACTACAGCTCATTACTGTTATTAAATATGAAAATATGTAGACCAGACTCTTGTTTAGTGTCTTCGTGTAGTAATATTTTGAGTTTCGGGTGCACTGTCTAGGTTCTGCTTGTCTCTTCCTCCTTAACATCTTATAACATCTTACAAAGAGGAACAGTAAGTCGAGTGACCACTTAATCCTTACCTTTTTGTTGTTGGCTTACAGGAAGTTTGGCTGTATTATTGTTTTTAGATTCAAGAAATATCATTAAGGATTTTGGCACAGATGTCTGTGGGAACAGATTGGCAGAGGCACTGCATCGTTCAGGTAGAGGCCACGATGTTTGTGATTGATGGTTGGAGTAAATTTATGATGAAAAATGTTTAGTTTTTATGAATTTTTGATATGATAGTCTCTGCTCTCTTCAGGAAGACTTCTCAGCTGGGCGATGCCTAGTAGAAGCTTTGACAAAGGGACCAAAAAATCTGCAAGTATGTCAGTTATACCACTTGCTTTCAATAGTTGGAAATATGGGAGAACTCTAAAATTTCGTGATAAGAGGGTTGTCCAATACCATAAATCCTCTTTTAAGCCCCCGGGAGGCTTATTATTTTATTTCAAGCATGCTTATTGGGGGCTTAATAGAGAGCGAGAGCTTACTATTTGACAGGGAGGCTTATTTAATGTAACAAAGATGACGGTATCCAGATTCTGGATCTCTGGAGGTTGGCATCTCTGCAGCGGTTTCAAAATGTTTTGAAGAAGGGAGCCAACTCTGGAAAAGTAGGCGGCTGCAACAATCGAGATTGTTGGTCATGAGCTAATTGTTATGACAAGAGTAGCCCTCAACACACAATCAAGTAGCTGTCAGAACTCCAGCAGTCGCTGGCTTGTCTTGAAACCCCTGTCTCTGGTGAAGTGTTTCAGCCGTGATTACAGTCAAGGGGGGCTGGGGGGGCTTAATAAAGAGAGTGGGAGCTTACTATCTTTCTTTCCTTGTAAATGGTGGGGGGAGCTCATTAGATAGGGGGACTTATTTGAGAGGGAGGAGGGGGACTTAATAGAGAATTAATTTTTTTTGTAATTTCCATAACATTATTATATATAACCAGTTTCAATTTGTCTTTCTCAAGGTTCTTGTGAATGCTTCATGTCTGATTGCAAACCTCGCAACAGGAGACCAAGACCAGGTTTGTTATATAATTATATATACCAGGCATAACAATTTAGAGACATGGTATAATGTAGCCCTAAATTCATTCCACTAAGCAGTACTTTTTGTGTCGTAATATTTATTATGCTATACAAGGTGAATCTAACTTTTTGAGTCTGTGGACAAAATCTTGAAGTTATACCAATCAATGAATGCTACTGAGCAACTACTTCCCTGTGGTACTGTTTTTTGTACTGTAAAAGGTACATAATATGTCACTGCTACTTGTAAAATGTAGTTCTTTGGTTGGCTTTGGCAGTACTTTCCAGTGGTACTGTTTATTATGCTGTACAAGGTGGTTCTAACTTTTGAGTCTGTGGATGAAATCCTAAAGTGTGACCATTCAAATGAAAGCTACTGAGCAGTACTTTTTCGTGGTACAGTACATTGATAAGCTATTCAAGGTGGTTCTAACTTGTGGGTCTGTGAACAAAATCCTTAAGTAAGCCAAGGCTAAAGGCAATTAAGCTCCTGTTAACATGGATGTGCATGCAATAGCTGGGTTCAGCAGTACTTTCACCTTTCAGTACATATTAATTTTACTTTGTGAAGTATTTTTTTGCACTTGAGTATGAAGTGCATGTAGGAAGTGCTGATTATCATTTTTATTTTAGATGTCCTTGCGGGATTGTTTACAAGCCATGTGTTCATTGACCTCATCACACACAGCACACAAAGATATTCAGGTATCAGGTCCGATGTAACTTTACATGGTGAATTAAGGCACAAAATTTCTTTTTAGTTAGTAACTTGCCAATATATAAGAGCAAAATTAAAAAGCCTTCCAAAGATGACAAATATCTGTGTTGTTTAAGTGTATTAAAAGTCACGTGCAATTTCTCAGGGAAATTATAGTAACCTTAAGATATAGGCTGGTCACTACCATTGAGGGATTTGGACACTTAATTAACTACAACGACAGTTACATTAATAAGAATTAATTTCTTTATATGTTTAATGCCCCCATACATTTGACATGTGTGCTACAAATATGTCACAAACTTCAGGGATGAAGCACAGATAACTGGCTCCCTGAAAACAGGTTATTTGTACTTTTTTATGGATACACTCACCCAAATAAAAATCTAATTTAGTTATTGATAATTGCCATTTGTATGTTTGTTTATCTTATGATAGAATTAGTTATTTATTGAGTCTTTTCCTTTGAATCAGTCCTTTTTTCATGATATTAATTTTTTGTCCAAGAGCACAGATAAAAATTAATAATATTCTGCAATCCCTGATTGGTTTCGTTCTATTTAAGCTGGTACATGAACCTTTAGAGGGTGTATGTTACATTTCATTTCAGTTAAAATCTACTAGAATTACTATTTAGTATCAATTTTTAGTGCTATTTTTGGGTTCTTTTCCATTAGGAACATTTAAGTATTTTTAATTACCTTTTAGTTATAGTTTTTCCAAGCAAATGACTATTAATTATTAATCTTTTAAATGTACCATCCAGACCCATGTATCCAGAGGACTTGGAAACTTTGCTAAGTTCCATCAAAATTCTTCAATCCTGGTAAGATTTTACTAGATTTAAAAATTAAAAATTTCATTTTTGCCACGCCTGCCAAATCTTCCCTATTAAGTCATGTTCACACCTGCAGTTTGAAAACTTCAATCTTACACTAGCTCACAAATGTATAAGATATCTGTGCTTTTCAAAAAAACTCCAAAGTTAAAAAGCCAACTTATGTTTTTGTTCTTTACTACCGTCAATCATTTTGTTCATTGCTGCCATCAATCATCTTAGCGGACCTCTAGCGAAACAGACCTTTGCTTCAACGAGTTTAAAAGGTCATAGTTTGTCATTTGTAATTGGTGGATTTCAATCCCTTTATTAGTTTTCTGAGTTTTGAGGTTAGTTGCTTGTTATTGTAATAAATAATGATTGATAAGGGCAGAAAACACTGTGACAATAAAATTATTGTAAGCTGGCTTTTAAAGTTCAGAGTTCACATGTTGTTGAAAAGTGCAGTAAGTAAAATGAACTGCACAGAACCAATGTGAAATTCCATGTGAATGTTTTGCTCCTTCCCTGAAATCTGAAGCTAAGAACTTCAGATATCTTTGGTGGAAAAGGAATGTCTTTGGAAAATCCTGGCACTAACTGGATAAAAATCTCATGCCTTGCATCCATAAAAAGTGGCTGTGGCGGTATTAAGAAGTGGGATGCAAGGAGAGTCATTTTTACAGCTTGCCATTCGGGCAAGCTGAAGCTAGCATATACTAGCCAAACGTCATTTCAACTAGCCCCAAAAACTTTTTGATTAGCAGAATTGATTCCACAGTTCTTCTGTAAGTTGAATTCCTCAAAAAAACGTCACTTGCCCATCGGGCAAGTTAAGAACAGAATTCACTAGCCCGATAGTAAAATCCACTAGCCATGGGCTATCGGACACGACTTTCTTTGGACGCTGTAAGAAGGTAGTTTGATTTTTACTGGTCAGTAAAATGGTCAGACCTTGAGATAAGGGGGGGGGGGGGGGCGGTCATCCAGACCCTTAGATATGATAAGGGGGGGGGGGGGTGCGGTCATCCAGACCCTTAGATAAGGGGAGGTCGTCCCCGCCCCCAAATTTTTTTTGGCACTTTGGGCCTCAGTTTTGTCTTAAAATTTTAGGAGGGCCCACCTCCCCTGGATCCACCACTGCTGGTATCTAATTTTTCTCATTTTTTTTTTCAGATTGACTATCTTCCAAGCATTGTAGAGACACACCTCAAGGTATTTGTCATAAAACGAGATGCTTTGTTTTCAAGGATGAGTGGTAGCTTTTTGCTCCAATGTTAGCATTATGTTTGTATAGTCAACAGATAATGCAATCAAGTGCCATGGACTTAGGACGGTCATGTACCTTATCAGTTATCAGAAAGAGAGAGCTGTGGATGTGTTATTAAGGTTTGGACGTGTGGATGCCGTTGATTAAATACTCCTAGCCCCGGTTGTTCAGACATTGGATAGCGCTATCCAATGGATAAGTCACCATCAGATCCAGTGGATAAATATTAGGGAAACCAATTGTGCTATCCACTGGATAGAAATTTATCCCATGGATAGCATTGTTCACCTTTTGAACAACTGGGGCCCATTCTTAAACCAAACAACAACAATTTTTATACTAAAAGAGTCAGAGCGATGATCATTTAACATGTAAAAGCAGTTCATGTGTGGCTTTGTTACCTTAGTGTTGAAAGAGCTACATGTACAGTTTCTTAAATGCTTTTCTTGCTGCTTTTAAACAAATTTTACTTTTTGGCCTTGTTTTCTCAATATGGTTAACTGAAAATGAAATAAATTATCTTGACAATGTTCATAACAATTATTATTGCAGATTACCATAAGATTAAAGGGCACATACATATGCAAAGTCAGGCAATTTTGAGGCAACAAAAGTCACCTTAAATTTACATCAGCCCTTTCAAACCAAGTATTGTTGTAAATTTTTTTGTGGTACAACTTACCTCATTTTGAACACGTGCATGAGATATGTACTTGGACCTCAAAAGATTTCATGGGCTTAGTCAGCATGTATCTTTTAATTTTCATTGCCATTTTCAGGGAAGGTGCCCATGAAGTTCTCACAAGTCTTGGCACATTCAATGGAATTGTTGATGCAGTTGAAACTGGTTTGCTTAAAATTGTACCCACCCTTAGTGATTGTACTATTACAAAGTGATAATAGCATTTGACATCTGTATATTTTGAATATTGAATATTCTAATAGTTAGTGATTATATATAGTTATTGTCAATATTACATTTTTACAAATTTTATATTCATGACTTGTAGACATCTCACTAATTTAAGACAGACACTTTGAGTTGATCTCTGCCATGTCAAGCTTAAGTATTTTCTTGACTTTTAACCCTTTAAACACTGACTTCAAAGTTCAAATTCTCATTTGTTGCCCCCTGAACATTTCCTGTAGGATTAGTGGGGAGATGTTGTAAGAGCATCAGTTAAATCACCTTGTGTGATCATTTTCCTTAATTCTCCTGACTACTCTGTCTAATAAAGCAATAATTGATATTATAAGGGGAAATGTGATGCTGATCACATAAAAAAAATGTAGCTAGCCTGGAAACTAACTTGCCCGAGGCCAAAAACTACTTGTCCCGGACGATTGTACAGGACTTTTTTAAGCCTTGTTACTCCAAGAGGTTTTTTTCTGGGTGTAATGGTTTTCCCATCTCTTAAAAAACCAACACTTCCAAATTCCAATTTAACCAGACTCACAAACCTGCTCTAAACAGGTTTCCTTGGAGTTTCTACTTAAGAGTTTGTAGGTAAACAAATTACATTTTAGATTACATTATTTAAATAATTATTACAAATTACATTTTTATGATTGATGGACACTTAGAGCAGGCCCCTATGGTGTCCATTTTAGAAAGCGCTCACTTTGATCATGAGGCTTTGTCATGTTGACCATTTCTTAATGTTTTTACTGTCAATTGTCCAGGTGTACTGGCATCCTAGGCACTAAAAAACGCATTTGTGCTGTGTAGCCTGTTGGCAGTATTCTTATAAATATGGTTATTGTGTTATTTTTGATTGAAGTCAGAAATAAGGTTGTACAAATAATTTTAGGAATAAATGTATGAGTCATTTTTATTTTTTATTAATTTAGTGATTATTTAGTTTGGACAACTATATATGAAAAGTCCAGTGTATGATTACATCTGTTGTTGGTTGAATCAGTTTTGATTCAGAGTTTTCTTTGTTTTCTAGTCCTAATAATTCCGAGCAGACAAAAAAAAATTCTGGTATGACAGATTTTTCCTACATGTACAAAAAAGTCTTTTTGCTAGACAATCATATTCAACTTACTCGATAAGAAGTGTGGCAAACATTTGAGCTTTAGTGTTGTCAGTAACTCTCAGGACAACATAAGGCGGTATGTTTGGGCATTGGAGCTATTCTAGAAAATTCAAAGTGGTAGGGGAGGGGGAGCATGGGGCACATTCCTTCTGTGGTGGGGGTATGGATTTTTTTTTTTTTGAATCAGCTTGGGAGGAGGGTATGTATTGGGACTGGAGCTTTCCTGAAAAATAAAAAAGGATAGGATAGAGGAGGAGGAGGAGGGGGTTGGCATGTGGCAATTCCCTTTCATGGAGGGGGTAAGGATCGTTTCTTGAACAAGCTGGGGACTTGAGGAACAACATGCTATGCATATTTTTTAAGTCATGATTGCAGTGACATTGTAAGATTACTTGATTTACAGTCTAACCAAGTCAAGCGTACCCCCCAAGATTCTATCAGTGAATTGATTATTTGAAAAATGAATCCGTTAACCGTTCCCGTAACTGGTGTCAAATTCAAAGCGGCATTTCTGCATGCGTAATGAGCATTGAATATTTTACGAGAACTTCTCTGGATTTGGTCAGATTGGAAATCTTTGAATGGATTAAGCTTCTTAGAAGACATTTACATCAATTTCAGGAAAATGGAGCTGGTAGAAATTTCATAACTGCCTCGCGTGTGAATTCACGGCTCATTACACATACAAGAATGCAGAAATCAATCTGAAATCTACAACTAGCAACAGATTCAACTTTTGAATAATAAATTCATTAATGGGTTCTTGGGGGGTACGCTTGACCTGGTTTGACTGTAATTGCATTCGTCTAGGGAAATATAATATGTGACATGATTTTATAAGCATTTCTCATTCAGGCCATTTTATTTAGTGAGGGAGTTCCTATATGAACATAATAACCATTTTCATACAGTATGCCGTGTGGGCTTGTGCACCTAAAAAAAAAAACAACCAAATAGAGAAGAATTATGTAAACTTCACTCTAAACTGCTGAAGTATATTCATGGAAATCCCTTGACATTAAATCAATGACTTCAACTTTTTGTCATTTTTTAAAACATTATAAAAATAGCAGCAATATTAGAAGTGATATTAAATATTGGTCTTATGACTTGTTGATGGGCCAAATGTGTTCTCTTAATGATCCAGGCCATACCAAATTTATTTTAATCCCAAGCACTTTTAGAAAACAAACCATTACATGTATATATATATATATGGTACGCTAATTTATAATTTTGATTGGATGAATATCACATCACCATTTGAAAATAAAATAATATTGTTAAAGAAAAGATGTTAGTATCTGTCTGCATGATCAAGAACTGGTGTTTTGTGAAGAAGCAACAATGCAGCAATATATTATGATGCATTCATACATTTTGCTCAAAGGTCAAGGAGATAAACTTCACATGGTTATTGATAGCAATAATGTTGAAACTCTTTTTAATTAACCTTTTTATATTAACAAAGAATGAACTAGCAAACTTCCTTGCTTGACCATCATGCAGTGTTGCTGGTTTAGCCTGTCAATGCAGATGTAGTTCCAGTCGTCAGAAATGCGTCTGGGTTTGCAAGCTAAATACGTGTATGAGGGGTGGTAAAATAATAAGTGATTTGTGAGAATTGGAAAATTTTGTGCTGATTTGGAAAACTTGAACACGTTTGTGATGAGTCACGAAGTGGTAGGATATGCCCATCATCAAATTATAATGACAACATCCTCTGGCACAATGACTGTGCTTAATTCTCTCAGTCTATAGGTTTGTTTGTAAGGGTTTTGAGATGATGAGACAAGGAAATAAATTTTTAACCTGTCACTGGACAGGTATTAAAATTTAATTGAACCTCTTCACAACAGCCGCTATTGGGGACAGAAGAAAGTGGCCATTGTGGAGAGGTCAACCGCCGCTGGTCTTAAAACAACGGAGGAGAATGTTCTGCCTTTTTTGTGACATCTGCAAACGGTTAGATTTTCTAGTCTTCTCGGATAAGTACAAAAAACTATAGGCCCTGTATCACAGCTCTTTCTCTGTTTTGATTCCTGTGGGAGGTAAAAGACCCCACACTGCTGTTTGTAAAGAGTAGGGGGCATAAACCCTAGTGGTGTGGTACAACCTTTCATGGGCTGGGTGGGTAATGAAGGGGTTGATATCAATTGGGACATAAGTCCTAGCTGTTTCATCCCCCGTCACCGTGGTGATCAATTCAATAAAGAGTCAAGGTATGGATTAATTTTTTTTGTCCGCCAGGACAAAAAACTAGTGGTTGTGGAGAGGTGACTGTTAGTAGAGGTTTGACTGTAATAATATTATTACTGCATTTTGTGCAATAACATTATCCATCACCATAAGACACTTTTATTATAACATTTTTGTATTTATACATAGAGGATATTACATGGTGGCGCGAAGATATGAATTTTATTTTCGAGTGGCAAAACAATGTTTTACGAACGAGCGCAGCGAGTGAGTAAAATATTGTTTTTGCCACGAGAAAATAAAATTCATATCTTCAAGCTGCCGTGTAATGTTCTTTTCATTATATAGACAAAAAGACATCGATAACATAATAGAGGGAAATTACCGAAATTACATCATCGATAAACTCACGTGTGAGAATATGGAAAATAAACCACTAGGGTCCTGGATGTAGTTTTTATGAATTTTACGAGTGGTATATTTTCCAGTAAAACACTAGTGTCTATATAATAAATTACAATAATTCACATTGAAAGTCTACATTTCATTGAGTCTTATTAAAGATAGTTTTTTTTTTTTCATTAAAGTACTTGAGGATTTATCAGATTGAGTTTTATACACCTCTTAATATCTTGACATTGTGAAAATTTATTAAATTTTTGTTAGCCATGTTATTTTCACTTTTAATAATGATGTATTTAATAATAACAGTCTTTTAAATTTGTTAGCTGTAACCTCTTTTATTAACAGTAAATAAATTTGCTACATCTTTGGTCCATGCTTTAACATATTAAATTTTATATAAATGTTACTTTCAGTTTAATTCTTGACAATTTATTACAAATATTACAGCATAGTACAAATATTGCAAAATGATAGTCATGCAGATCTGTTTTCATCAATACGCCGGAAATATTAATAAGACTTATTCATTTCATTTATAGTCACATCCCAACAATAATTCAACTGTTATACTGTAATGTTACTGCATCCAACAATAGTAGTTAAATGGAACTTCAAATAATGTGTCTGAAAACATTTCTTTAAAAGAATAATAGTAAAGATGATGATAATCATAGTTTTGGCTCGAAATGTTTGTACTTCAAATTTTTCTGGGACCCACCTACAATATTTTGTAGCTAATTCCAGCAACTCAAAAATAAAGTATTAAATAATAAATATGGCTACATATTTTTTATGTAGCTGTCATTTCAAGCTTGAAAGGAAACATTTTTTTTTTTTTAAATAAAATAAACAAGGGGCAGAGGTACCCCAAGTTTGAAATGTGAACACCACAATAATTTTTATAATTCAAAAAGAAGACAAAATTAAAAATAGAACTGACTAGAATCATTCTGAAATGCCATAATACTTGACTCACAAAGTATAGAACACGGAGGCAAGTTAAGAAATTTTTTAAGAAATACAACTATTTTAGCCCTATCTTTTAATTCTCAATTGCAATTGATAAATACAAACTCTCACAATTAATTTTACAATGTAAGGAATAGTATTCTGACACTCAAATTATAATGGTCACATATAAGCTCACATTCCAGGCCTGAAGTACTTTACGGTCCTTTTCAATACATTTTCACTGAGACGAAAAACATAATTCACTATTCGTTATTTGTTTAAAGCCCAATAAATAATTTCATGTTCAGTGTATAATTTTGTTGTCAAGCATTTGTAAATGCATTGGTTTATCTTCATTTTGTCTGCATAACCCTATTTGTTGTGTGTTTGTGTATGTCTGCATTATTTAGAGCTTATTAAAAATTTTATATTATATTATTTTGTATATATTATATACATATACACCTTTAGTACCACTGTACAAATACTGTTAGATCTGTTTATCATTATCTTTGTCTTTATTTTTTACATTGGAGATTCACTCAACTTGGTTGTTTATTTAGTGGTATATTTTAGATATTCTTTTTGTTCACTGCCTTGCTCTTTGATTCCCGAAGTTGCTGGATCCAGTCTGTTTCTTTCTCGTCAAATATCTTCTCACCAAAGGCCAGAAGACCAAGCTGGGACTGTGAAGCTTCTGACTTCACTTTGCTTTTAATACAAGCCAGAAACTGTGGTTGGGTTAAATTACGACTGCAAAATTTAGGATGCCACATGTGAAATATTCCTCTGTCAGCCGCTCTTACAACAACCAACTGACTAGCAAGATAGTTGCGGTACAACTTTACATCCTCCATTCCCCAGCCTTTGATTGACAGGTCAAACCCGCCTATATTCTCAAAGTCACTTTTGTACTGGCAGGTCATGCCAAAGCCAAAATCCCTCCAGTAACCAGTGTCACGATTAATACGGTGCTGGTGGGCAGCGGGCGGGGGCGACCCACCATAAACAATCATGGGATTGTACAGACTGAACACTACAGGGTAATAGACCTTCCCTCCTGGTGTGGAATGAAATCTGCACCGGTCCAGAAAAGTAGCAGTGAAATAGACATCTACGTCACAAAAGAACATCAGTACATTTCCTTTGGTCCAGGAAAGTGCCCCTCTCTGTAAGCCATATCCCCTCGAAAATGTTTCATTTGTAAAGATAAGCTTGTAGTCTGTAAAATTCTCCGCCTTGGACACATTTTTCACCAAGGATTCCAGCTCCTCTTTACCTTCCTGGCCGAAGAACACTACAGTAAGAAAAACTTGCTGGTCCCATTTGATACAAACGTCAACAAAATTGTCCAGGAATTGTTTAAATTTATCCAGGCGACCGGATAAAGGCAAAATTAAGTTTATCAGCTCATTATTTGTGTCCACTGTCTCAATGTTTCCGGCAAGAGTCAAGGGACCGAACGATCGTTGAATTTTAACACGATGAAAAACCTTGTTACCGGCCGCTCTAAAATAAAGATCGTACTGTGAACCGTAAATCCGATCCACGCGCATTATTCCATCCGCGAGATGCATTGCGGTGGCTTCCAGCTGCTTGCCTTCCCAATCCTGATTCAGCGAATCCACAGCAAACTTAATAACTTCCAAGTATTCTTTCCCTTTGAAACCGTACGGTCTCTCCGCCGGGTTGCCCGACAGGCCATGATAGACTTGGTAAATCGCATTATACGCTAAACCATCAAACGGGACGACCTCAAATTCTGTCTTCACCGGGTCGCCTTTTAGAAATTCCCCCTTAGCTATCTTGCTTTTTTCGCTGCTCAACTCTTGAGCGATCGTGATTTTTTCCATGGTTTTTAGCTGTCGTATCTCCTTCAAGAGCCCCTCATTTCGAGAAGATAAATCACGAACCGCCTTTGTCAGGGCATTGTTTTCGCGTTTGAGATTTCCCATTTCGCGTTTGAGTTGGCGAATTTTCTTTGACAGCGAAGAAAATTTGACCGAGGGGTTTTCCATGTTGGAGAGTTCGCGATTTGTTCTGTTCGGGTCTTCTTCTGCCACAAATCCACGACATCTTGTAAGAGTAAATAGTAAAATTTGTCCAAAGAGAACAAAAAAGATTAACGCAAAAGTCGCTCGAAAAACTGTCACAGTCGAAATCCTTGGCATGGCATATTTCCCACGGCCTTGATTTCCACGTTGTTGCGATTTCTTTGGCCTCGCGGGGCATAAATTATAAATTCATCGTCGAAAATTAGAACAAGTTATCGCCGTTTGAATGACCAGTTGTTGCGGCGAATACAACTCGTACATGATCAGCTGTGTTTAAATATTGCCACATGTAAATTATTCGTGTTTACCCACTTCGCGGTGTGACATGTCACGCACTCTATGGTTGACTATTGGGTAATTGAGCGTTAAACTTTAATAAACAAACAGTTGCCATAAATAAACTATTTGTGGTTCGTGCTAAGTGGATAATTTTTTGAATGCTAAGAAAATATACCAAATATCGGCCGCAATCGCTGGACACAGAAGTACATCAATTAAAAAATTCTGACGAAAATCGCTTAGATCTCGAGTTTTTTGGAGAGTTCAGTTATTATCGATCATCCGCTGCCAGCTAGAAATTGTATACCCTGTGGAAGCCTTCATCGACAATGACTGCGAATGAAACCAAAAGGAAGCAAAAGCGGCGTACTTGAAAGGATATTTTGTCTTCTTTCTGTCAGTAAGAGTCAAAACAGCTTTTTCTCTCCGGCTATTGACGCATTTCAATGAGTTCCTTTGTTGTATTTTATCAGCAATGACAAGGTTTTTATTTATAAGCAATTAGTTCAAGAGACAATGCAAAAGCCAGACAAGTCAATGCCGCACAGAAAGTTACACAATAGAGGAGTGAGACAAAATACCTTTTCTGAAATAGCTAGAGTAGAGTACATGGGTTGTCCAAGGATGCCTGTTGTAAAGTGACAGTTATATATGACACCACAAACTCTAAAATGATTACGGCATTTCCAACGATCTAATGGAAGAACCCAAAAGATTAGAAAAAGGGTAAGACGTCATGAGTTCAATACTGAAGACGTTGTTTATAATGATAGTTGACCAAGCATTGAAACCAAAAAAGACTTAACATTTTAATTCAAGTTGTTAAAACCTGTTGCTATTAAACGTTTGATAAAAGAAAAACGTACTACGTGGTAATTCCAATTTTGCCTGACGTGAGGCCCGGGACGGGGTGCTTTAGAAATTTCTGGGTAAGGATGTGCCGCTGGGACCTTGGAACCCTTGACCTATACCAGATACTAGAGTAAACTCCCCAAATCCCCCCTATCCTAGAGTAGCTGTTTTCCAGAAACTACCGAGGTCACTGGCACAGTCTAGTCAAAACAAAACCTTATACCACAATCCCTAGTCTAGATAAAATCTTCAACCAACTGATCAGTTTTCTGAAAAATGATACCCTATTCTAGACCCAAACGCTCTGATTTGTATACCCTATCCTAGAGTAAACTGCTTGAAAGCCATACCCTTCACGGCGGCACATACCTATATAGCCCATATATGGCAGTACCCCCCCCCCCCCAGGACGTGACGTTAACGGTGGTTTTTGGCTGACCTGCAGCCTCCCTACCAGCGAAGCAAGCAGCCCTTAGAATTATTAAAACCGATCTTAATCTATTCTTTGCGTTACTACGGGCTAGTACCGGAGGGCGCTTGGATAAAACTGTTTTCTATAAAGGTATATTGCGTGATTTTTTTGGCGTGACACTTCCGGTAAATCACAGTGATGACGTCACTAATGATGCCGGTCACGTGCCTCTAATATTGTTTTGTAATTGGCTGTTCAGGGCTTTTTTTTATCAATTAGTCTGGCTGGGACCGAGTAACAGTCACAATTCGCGCTAAAAAGCGACAGAAGTGTCAAGAAAAATTACCTAATGTGGTCCTAATGTGACACCCTGGCCGTTGGATAGCGCTATCCACCGGACAAAATAGCCTGCATAACAAGCGTTATTGTTGCGCGTTTTTCAGGCGAACGACGGCAAGCGCAGCGCGTGTCTGATGCTCCTCGCCCGCTTCACTCTTGCCTTCGCTCTCCCGAAAACCGCAAAAAGTATCTATTTCTCCTGTTATGCAGACTACCGGATAAATCACTACCCAGCAGATAACTATTAGGGAAAATGATTGCATTATCCACTGGATAAATTTTGAGAGCGTTATCCACCCTTTGAGCAAATCGTGCCTGATGCGTTGGCTGACATAGTCATGTCTCTCTCGCGTTTTGGTACCCTGGATACCAGAGGGGCACACCCTATGTCTCTACATGTCTCTGACGCCTGATCGCACTTTAAGTGAAGCAGGGCCAAGGCCAAGATGAAACCATCGACAACGTAAAGCCAAGTTTCGACTGCGCGCGCATTTCAGACAGAAGCGCGCGCATTTTCCGTTGCCCAGCAGTGTGACGTTTAAATCGCTGATTGCAGCTGTAAAAGCCAATCACGAGACGACTCGTGGAAACTTTAGAACAAACAAACCATACCGGAGCAAGAAAGCCACTTAACATGGAGCCAGTACAGAAGGGAAGTGATTCGCGCAACCAAGACGTGGACTTTAAACTAAGCGCTTCTGAAAATACACCAGATAAGATTTCATCTGCAAGGACTGGAACAGAAAGCCCCCAAATCGAACTTGGTCTTAGCAAAGATCAGTCGATGGAAAGGAGTTTTGGTGGAGGAAATCCTTCTTTGAGTGAATTAACCTCTGTAATTGGTTCAGAATTCACGGAGGAAAGCGAAGTACCGCATACCAATGATCCTAACGATTCACTTGGTGAAATAAGAGAAGATTTATTTGGGAAGAGTGAAGTTATTGAAAAGGAGAAAGAGATAATGAGCGGAGAATCGCAGAGTTTTTCTGAACAAAGCGACTCAAGTAAAGTGGAAATCCAAAGCCGTGCAAACCTCTCTAATCACAGCAAGAAACAAAATTCCAAAGAACTTGTTTCAAAAGGAGGAAAAAGAGAAAAACCAGGAGAATTATCGGTGAAGAAGCTGAGAAAAGATCAGTGTTGTCAAGGTGATAGTTTAAGAGAGAACTCAAAAAGTAATGAAGTTCAAATTTTGAAAGAGAAACTCGCTGTGAGTAAGAAAGACACGGAGACCATGCAGAAGTTGTTGGAAGATGTTCGTAAAGACTACGAAGATCTTCAGAAAAACTTTGAAAAAAGAGAGAGCGAGGCAAGAAATAAAGGATTTATTGAGGAAGTGACAAAGGAAAACAATGAAATTAAAAAGGAAAAAGCTGAAGTTAAACGCAAAGCGTCGAAAAAGGAATGTAAAAGTTCGGATGACTTGAGTTCGTTGGAGCTAGATAAGCCGAGAACGGTCAAAGCGGCAAGCGACATGACCTGCCCTTGCTTTGCGCCGAGTTTTCGTAAAGTTGTAACTGATGTTACTGAAGATTTTAAAGAAACCATCTCGCTGATAAAAAAAAGTTCGCAAGAGGGAAAGGAGAGGATTAGAAAAGAACTTGCCCAGTTAAAAGACGAATATAAATGCGCTTTGGAGAGAAAAGATTCTGAAATTCATGCATTTGAGGAGATGATTAAAGGTTTGCAATCAAGGATACGTGAAAGCGAGCGAGAAATTGTAAGTTTTCGAGATGCAGTGTCGTCATCTTATGAAGAAAAGATTAGACTGTACGATGATATTTGCGCGTTAAAAGACAAACTTGCAAAGGTGGAGCGTGACGGCGAAACAAGTCGCGCTGCCTTAGAAAGAATAAAACACGGTTTAAAGAAATTTTGCACGGCTGAAGAATATGAGGAACTGGAACATCAAAGTTTTAGATTAAGGGACTGTGGAGAAGTGGAAGGAAGTCCTAGAGAGCGAAGCGAAAGCGATGAGAGCGTAACTGAGGTTAATGACAAACTGGCGAAGTTTCATCCGGTCTTGAAAAAGGCCAAAAAAGAAATAACCAAGCTAAAGGAACAGAAGCAGGATGCCGAAAATCGTTTGCAGGAAAAAGTCTCTCAAGCGACGGAGAAGGAGACGCAGTTATGTAAGAAGTTGAAAAAGGCTTTGAGCGAGTTGAAACAAAGCCAAAGTGATACAACAGAGCTTTCAAAACAGTTGGAAGCACTAAAACTTGAAAATACCAGACTAAATACTGGTTCTGATGAACTAGAAGGACAATTGGAAGATTTGCGCAGAGGGTATGCACAAGAGCTAAGAACGGTGAATGACAAGTTGAAGATCTCGAACGACAAACTGATGCATAGCCAAGAAAAATATAACCAACTGCAAGAGGATAATAAAATATTACGTGATGACTATGACGATTTAAAGAGTTTCGTGGACGAAATGAACGCAAAGAAAATGAAAGACGTTGTTATTGATGGCTCTGACAACGAGGACGATTTATCGGAGCAACTGATAAAGGTGAGATAATCAAATTTATTATCCTTCCAAAATATTTCGCCGTATCTGATTGGCTCAAATCCCCCGACTAACTCTCCATGACCACCCGGCGTTAGGTGAGAGCAATATACTATCGATTCGGTGATATATTTGCTTGGAGACAAGGTTGATCTATAGTATATTTGCGTGGAAACGGGACTGTTTGAAATGGCGTTTTAGTACGACTATCTGAAGACAAAATAGCCGAATTCCTGACCGTTACTGAACAGAAGATCTGAACGGGCTGAACGTAAGATTTCAACAGTTACGTGCGACTTAAAGATTAATGCAGCTAGCCCCTGGTTTTGTTTAACATAGAAATATAAGTAGCTGCCTCGACCCTCGTAACGGTGCGTAGGCTTTTTCGTCAACATGCAGCATTGGTATGGCGGTCCGTATCCACCTTGACGCTACGCACGAAAACCGGAAGCACAAGACTTCACGGGAATGATGATTCCTAAGATAAATCGCGGTCCGCTTGAAAGACAGGAGGGTCTCCTGGGAACGAGGCAGCTAATAAAGGATTCAAAAAGCATGCAAACGAGGTTAATGTGTCAATATGATGATGTTTTGGCCTCTTTTCCATGTCAAGACGGCTGATATATCTGTAATAACGGCCATTAAGAGCACAAAATCGCGGATAGTTTGTATCGTTCGTTAAATAAAAGTTGTTTGGAGACTGTATATTCTTGACAACGTTCATGGAGGCCGCTTTCCATTCAACCCCAAATTCCGGAAATTTCGGTTGGTACATCAAATGCAACGGACCTTTTCGTTTTGGTCCGACTGGAATATTCGGGACCAGCTTTAAAGGTGGTCCACTTTGATCCGGTTATATCGGTAGGTGGGACCGAAATGCCCCTTTTCATTTCCATTACCGCTCTTGTATCCTTCTTACAAGAACAATAACCAAACGGGCGGTGGCTTGTGTCTGGTCTGTGTAACCAGAATGTACCGTTAGATTGGGCACGTGGAATTTGCGAAATTTCAAACCGCAATTTTAGTCGAATGGAAAGCGCCCGGAGTTTATAATACCGAGAGTTTATTCCTTGTAGGAAGAGTCATCGCTAAAGGAACAGCTTAAACTTGAGAAAGACAGGAACGAAAAATTCCAGAACGAAATAAAACTTCTGAAAAAGGACATTGATCTGTGGAGAGAAATAGTTAGCGATGAGGGGTTTACTGGAGGTGTGGGATACCTGAAGATTGAAAATGAAGATTTAAAACAGGAAATAGAAGATCATCAGTAAGTGAGAATCGCAAACAATATTCAGGATAAATAAATATAGAGAAGAACATCACCGTTAAATACGCAACTAATGCAGTTGCGAAAAGAAAGCCTGGAAAAATTCAGTGGGCTGGCTACACCCCTGCTACAGGTGAAGATGGAATAATGAATATATGACATTCATGTATTCATCCTTTCACTAAGGATAAAGTTAGCCGAAAAATGTTTGTCGATTCTAGTGAAAACCTGTTGCCCAAGGGTGCTTGCGTTTCGCCAAGTTTTGTAAGGAAATGTAGGAACAGTTCCCTCGCACAGGGTGGCTCGGGTAGGCGAGTGTTTGTTAAGCAAAACAAAAACTCTGCTCGTGTATCATACTTTTTGATACATCCCCATTTGTCAAATGTAGGTGAACTCTGTTGGGGTCGATTTCCACTCAAACAGATCAAATTTCAGAAAGAGGAAAGTGTTGTAATTTGATTGTGTTTTTGTTTCCTATTTTAGAGCCGTCATCAGACAGCTTATATCGAAAAAGAAGGAGCACACCCGAATCATCAATAAGTTGCGTACAGAAAATAGTTTGCTTAAGGTACGGCAGGATAACTTTTCCCTCTAGTTGCCCTAGGCTAACACTGGAACTCGTTAAAGAATGACTTGACAACCAAAAATTTGACTAACAATACACGACTGTTTAACTGTGACAATAGACGGATAGAAACGCACCAATGACATAACGAGTCTTCATAGCCAATAACATCACGGCTTAACTGAAAGACGACGTCAATAACATCGCGACTTAATTGACCAATCAGGTCAATAACCAGAGTTTAATACCATCAACTGACGTGATACAACTCACTTCGACTCTGAAGATGACTACCGCACAGGTTGTCGAAACGTCAGTCACTGTCAACAACAACAGTCCTATTCAGGACTACGTTCACTCGGACGATCATGCTCAACGTACTTATGAAATGACTCCTGTGTTGAAACCTTTCACAGTAAAGTAAGAATCTGCGTTTTCCCAAGTTAGCCTAAACGGGTTTTTACATAAATAGTAGTAAGCACAAATTTAGGCCATTCAGGTTCTTAAAAAAATTCTCATTTTCTGAAGAAAAAAGAAATACATTGTAGCTAAGAGTATTAAGTGGTCTTTAGCTTATTCCTTACATAAAATCTGCATACCATCACATTGCAGTTGGGGTGATAAGGCACCTGTGTCTCCAAAGAGGACTCCGAATGTTGACTTATCTTATTTGCCAAGTGTACAGAATTTTTTTTTAATAGATTTAGAAAATAAGAACCTGCTTCAAAGTTTAGGTTAATCAGGTTCTTGTTTAGAGGGGATCTAACTGGCAAATTTTAGCCTACAGGTTCTTCAAATCCAGGTTCTTACACGCTGGTTTTTACTGTATCCGCCGATTGGAATCCGGACTGGGCCTTCCATTATAAAAAAAAATCTCACTGGCTACTACTGTTTTATCATAAGATTAAGAGCACTTTATGGTGATTTTTTTTATCATTGAAGTCTTTATTGGTACTATTGGGTTACCAGTCACCTATTAACAACGTCCATTTTAAGGGGAATACTCTCACATTGACGATCACCCCAGCGCACAAACAACTGATACTACTGGGTTCACAAATCAGTCACCAACAACAGTCTTTTTGATGACTACACTCATATGAACGATCCAGCGCACGGTTATTAGACCTGGATTCGAAACTGTATCCTAGCAAAGGCTCTACTGTCAGGGTGATGGTCGATCACACTCGACAAACTAATGATAGCCCGGAGTTCAACCGAATATTTTTTGCAAAGAAGTCACTTCACTGAGCAAATCTCAGTAACTCTAAAGATGGCAGGTTCTAGTCTAATGACATTTAACTCGTCAGGGACCGCGTAACGCACCTGAAGATACACACGAGGATTCGTTGCTCGAATCTGAGGATGAACTGGAAAGCGAGATGCCTGATACGACATCAACACAGGAAAGTCAGATGAAATTTGACAAGAATGGAAAAATGGAAGACGAAAAACAAGTTAGTATCCAGATTTCCATGCCATAATTTAAAATGAAAAAATCTCACCGAAATGGGATGATGTCTTAGGGGCCGCTTATTAAGAGGGTCAACTGTAGGAGTTACGTGGCGAGATGAAGAGAACCGCTGACACTGGCCTGGTTGCCGCGAGTGCAGTTTAGTTTTTTGTTGTATTGTGCAAACTGAATCAGGGTTATCTAGTGGGACTGATAAATTTTAATAAGAAAGCAAACAACGAAATGATCTCATATTCAAATGAACCAATCAGCTCTCACCGCAAGTACACGTTGCCGGCGAAAAGCGCGGGAAAAAATTCAAACACTGGGAGGCGTCACGAAATTTGGAAGAACTTTGCGATGAGTGAACTAATGACGTCAATCGTGCAGGAAAACTGCCAGATTATTGAACGGTTAACCGAGAAAATCTGGGGACGAGGTTGACTTGTTTTGGCAGTGATTACAAAACGGCGGAATATTTCACTCGTTTTACGAGTGAAGAATCAGGCGAACTATTGGCTTTAAACACATAGCAAGAACAGCAAGAAGACAACTCGACGGACGGCATCTGCTATTTGGAGAATATTTGCAGAACTGAACAACCCTTTATCTCCTAAACTTACCGATAAACATGCACTATCGAAGATGAACTGAAAATCGATGGAGGTAAGCATGTTTGAGCTTGTTTTTAGACTAAACAAATTATTTTAAATGAATAATGAAACAAGTATTTAAAAAAAGAACTAGACAGCCCTGACAGCCCCTTTAATACTAAGAAAACCATCTCTCCGTTCTTTTAATAGACTGAATTTTCTGATGAAGAGGAAGATTCTCTATTTGTACAGTTCATGGACGACAACGATAGATTACACAAGGGTCTTAATCTCGCGGAAATTCTTGAATATGACACAAGCATGAGCGAAAAGGTACGTTACGTATTAAACACAGTAAAGTTGGTATTACTTTGACTCTAAGGGCAAAAGCCACCTCAAACCACTTTGACACCCTGGGTGCCAGAGACTTTTCATGCACGGTTTCCGTTTTCGGTCAACTCTTTGTAGTGACCCGAGCGAGAGGTTTTTTGTTGCGGCTTGCCGCTCGTGGCTTCGGTCTAAAGGCCGAAGACGTATCGGTCTGCGGCCGATTCCGAAGTATCACCGCCGCGCTCAATCGCCGCACGCGATACAAAAAACCTTGGTTCCCTTGGTAACACGTAATTTCTCCCGATAGTAACACTGCTAAATCAAGCACAAAGGCCATGGGGAAATGGTCAACGAGTTAAAAAAGTCTTAATTACCTACAAATTGGTGAAAGAAATGTCCGCATTTTTATTATCGAAATCATAAGTGCCACATATCAAATAAAGACTTTTCCTAGCACTTAAATTCTTGGAGTGAGCATGCGCGACATAAGCAAAACAATTACACAACATGGCGATATGGTCACAAAACCCCTCGTTTCTCGCCATTTTAGAATCAGTTTTCGAGCCAAACTTTTGTGCTACCAAGTATGTGTACGCTTGTCTCATAGCAGAGGTAATCCTCGTCGGAGAATTCCGACAATTTCGGAAGGAAGGTTAATGGTAAAGTTATTTTCGGAAACTCCCGCGGAAAATTGAGGACTGCCTTTTTGAGCCGTCTGTGCATGTTGTTCGTAGGCAATAAACGTATATTAACAACAGAAAATGTAAAAATGACCGTAGTGACCGCGGCAGTGTTAGCTCAGTCGGTAGAGCGTGTTGATTGCAGAGCGGGAAGTCGCGGGTTCGATTCCTGGGGCCCGACCAATACTCAGGGTCTAAAAATAACCGAGAAATGAAGGTACTCCCTTTGCACCGCAACAGGCTAGACCTTCGCGTGGCTCGGATGATCACGTAAAATGGCGGTCCCGTCTCCAGTTGGAGACGTAAAAATAGTGTCTCCAATTAGTACTTTCGTGCTAAATACATTGACACTCAAATAAAGTGCATTTTTTTAGTAAAACCCTTACATACTAACGCTCCTCTTCTTGCTAATTAGATATTCATCCCTTTTAATCTGTGTCTTTCCTCTTAGGAGTAATTTGAGGAACATGATGGACTGATAATCTTTTCTATTAGAGTTTTTATTACAACGATATGATTAAGGTTTAATAAAGCAGTCTTCTTTCCCATACAAACCATCTTTGTCTTTCTTGGATTAATCATAATGGTAATATAACTAGGACAAAACAAACTTAAACAAAATCACAGAGGGAATAGGCCATGTCCCAGTCTCCCCAAGCCTTTGTTTGAAAGCCTGACTAAGGGCAAAGCCATTGATATAAAATTGATTGTTTATTCTCATGTAAATAACACTCATTTTCAAAGAAAGATTTTGAACTAAGCCTCGTTTTGAAAGTGAGAGTATTTGGAACTCAGAATGGCTTATTACTTAGCTGTTAGTTGCCCATGTTATGGAACACATGCAATGTTTCTCCTCTGCAGAGGCCCAAAACACTCATATTGCGACGGAATTTATCAACCTGCGAATGAGGCGCAGTCTTCAGTTGTCTCCGGCCTTCCAATAATTATAATGTTTAATTAAACTGGATAAACAAAAATCTTAATATCTCTTCAAAAATGCTTGAAACCAGCCCGAGAAACTCACAAATTGCAACATATACAATAAAAACGTAAGACATTTCATTTTTATTTCAAATTCTGTATTAATTGTGGCAATATAAAGTAGCAATGTTTGTAACATGTTCTATACTAAGTCTTAAATTTTGCCGATCTCATCATTATGTACAACGAGGACTACGTTTGCTGCAATTGCTACGCTTGCTACACTTGCTACGTTTGCTTTGTTTGCTTTGCTTGCTACACTTCCTACGTTTGCAAAGTTTGCTTGCTACACTTGCTACCGGCTCTTGCTACACTTGTTACTCTTGCTACGTTTTCTTCGATTGCTACACGTATTCTGTGTCAAGATGTATAATTAAAAGTCATGAGGACTAAAATCAAACTTGGAAATTTTGTTTCCTACAAAACAGAGGTCGACGTACCGTTTAATTTGTTTTGACCAGGCACCAAACAATTACAGAGTTTTTAAATTTCCCTAGTTGTCTTTCTATTTTTTCCCGGCTTTACTTCTTGTATGTAAAAGGTGTCAAGAAGAGAAATCAGAAAACTTGATGGTAAAAACAACGTTGGGAACGCGAATAAGCCTGGGCTATGAAAAATAGGTGCCACGCTTATCAAAAGACAAGTAAATGTCAAACTACAGTTATAAGTGATTTGACCTAGTGAACAGGGAATTTGACTTCAGTATTGGAATGGAGACCAATCTAGACACTGATAAACTTAAACCAATTTGCCAAAAAAAATTTAAAACTACAGCTGTGTAAATAATATAACAGTAAAGAACTACAGTGAAACCTCTATTAAGCGGACACCTTCGGGACCTTCCCAAGTGTCCGCTTAATAGAGGTTGTAAAAATTGCGCAATGTTTGTTAACGATCAACATTCAACGGTTATTCAGTACTGTGATAAACTTGCATGTTGTTAAAGAAGCTATCCAGAGTTCAAGTTCATTACCTTTCATTACCTTCTTTAATTTGTTTGTAAATGCAGAAACATTAACTGACTTCAGTCCCTTTTTCAAGGACGTAATCCAATACTACTATTGTCAATTCAGTCCTGTGTCCGCTTAATACAGGACAACTCGGATTAATATTAATCCGTGAATTATAATAATAATAGATTATAATATGGTTATTATAATCCGGTAATAGATTATTATAATCCAGTAATAAATTATTATAATCCAGTAATAGATAAAGGCACGGCAAAAATTGGAAGGATTAGATTATTATTAATAATAATCATCCGGATTAATATTAATCTCTATTATAATCCAGATCAGAGCTATGACAGACAAACTGCAGACATTACACGCTGAACAAGGGACTGACGGGACATAACACTGATCACATCAGTCACACGATCACTTGCATATGTTAGAGCTGGTAGCGATGTTGAGCCTAGAAGTAACTCTAGAGTTCTTCCGTCCAGCTGAAATTGGTGCCAACACTTCAGTCAATCATACGCCTTCGTGGATGCCACCAGCTAACCCATCAACAACAATGGCTCCTTCTATGACACCAATCCTGAAACCCAGTCCTCTAACACAAACTCCTACCTTAAGTCCAGCATATACGCAGACGGTCCAAATCATGAAATGCTCCCTGGGAAATAACTATCTCTATGGATCAAACTCAGAAAGACTGAGTCTTTTAGAAATAACTGGAAAAGATTCAAGGATTTCCTTTGATGATGTGCGCACTGACATCCCTTTCACTTTGTTATTTTTTTTATTACTTAAGATCTTTATTCTATTCTACGTTAAAAATCTTCATGGCCCTGCAAAAAATTCAGTTGCAACTGTATTACCAGCAGAGCTGAGACAACTGCCGACTTCTGCTACTAAAATATAATAACGTATAATAAGGAGTGCGGTTATTGACTGAATGTAATTAAGAGTTTTGTTCACAAACTACTAGCACAAGTAGCAAATTCGTCGTGGTTAGAATAGAATATTTTCTTTATTGAGAGACTTGTACAAATTTGAGCTATGTGGGATTATATTTATCAGATTAATATTAATCCTAATCGTTTAAGGTACGGCTCAAAGCTCAGTTATGGATTATAATAATCTATTACTGGATCTAATATTAGGATTAATATTAATCTGATTAATATTAATCCTACATAAGATTAATAGTAATCCTAATTGATCAAGGCACGGCTCAAACCTCAGTAATGGATTATAATAATCTATTACTGGATTATAATAATCTATTACTGGTTTATAATAATCTATTAGTGGATTATAATAATCATTAGGATTAATATTAATCCGAGTTGTCCTGTTAATAGAGGTTTTTAACAATAGAAATTAGCCAAATACACCTTATTTTAGTGTCCGCGTCCGCTTAATAGAGGTGTCCGCTGAATAGGGGTTCGTTATAAAGGGAAATATAAGGCGTTAATTTCGGGACCTGGCTTAGTGTCCATTTAATAGAGGGTGTCCGCTTAATTGGGGGTCCGCTTAATAGAGGTTTCAGTGTATATTAAATTGCTACTCTAAAGTGCCTCTGTCTCATGTGGTATCAATGAAAATAGCCGAATTGACCACTGATATTTTTGAGGTGGCTATAAAACAAGTTTTAAGTGCACACGACTGGTCGCAAAATATTAAGCTACGAACCGTACACTGTAATTTTCAGACTACGTAAAGCTTCAACTTATTTATTAACAGCATATAATGTTCTCTCCTGGATAAAGTGCTCCTATTCTTGGGAGAAACGCTCCATCTCGTAATTGTGACAAATTAGAAACTGACTTCAACTTCAGATAGATAGGAACTGCTTCACCGCATTCTTCATCATACCTATACAACAACAACAACAGCAAAGAGCAACGTTAGCAAGCTAACAAAAGAAAAGGATAGTGATTTCATCTGGAAGGCATAACATTATGACAACTGACTTCTAGGAGTGCGCTGGATTTATCGTATTCCGGAATAATTAAACGCAAACCTCTTCTATACTGCAATTTTGAACCATTTAAAATTTATGTAGATCAGAATACTTATTTCAAGCAGTTTTGTAGATATTGCAATACAATAAAAGACAAAACAAGTGATTTCTAGAAAGTTTATTCCATTTATTTTTATTTGAGACGCGGAATCCGGTGAATCGAACACGCACTAAATCTATTAGAGCAATGGGTCACATTTTTAAAACCTGTAACTTCGACCAATGGTTAGACTCTTAAAGAAACTTGCATACCATAAATCCTCTATTAAGCCCCCCTCTCTAATAAGCTTCCCTTTTCAGAGAAGGAAAGTTATTAAACCCCCTCTCTCTTTCCAGTCCCCTTTCCTTTTTCTTAAATAATAGACGTATGATAGATGTATTAATTTAGCACGACTGTAACACTTCATGGTGACTTATCATCCGGTATGGTTTATTCGCAAGCTGGAAGTTCGGATTTGAATTTAATCTTCGGCTTCATGACCTCCAACTTCATGTGCCTGAGCTCTAGTTCTTTATAAAGATTGAAATGATACTACAATCTTCGCTTAAACCGTTAGGTCCCAAGAGTGTCCAACATCAATTTTCTCCTAACAACATCAGCAGATCAACAAGAGTAAAGGTTATGAGAATTACTAAATTGATGACCAAAGCGGGAGTACTTTGATCTTAAACCAAATGTATGTAAAAGAAATGTATGGAGATCGGTCTGGAGAATTTGTATTTGGATCTTGGGGCTTAAAGGGTTAATAGAGAGGCTTAATAGAGGATTTACCATATTTGGAGACCTTCCTAAACGATCACCTTCCGTAAGCGACCGGAAAATAGATCTTCGGATTTTGGGTCGTCGCTTACCGCCAGGTTCGACTGTAAGTTACCGTGGAACGAACTCAGACGGGGCCACAGACACTTTCAAATGTAAAAAAACATCATGAGACTTGAAATAAATTTTCTAGTGTTTTACCACCAAAAGAACTACCAAAGTCAGATTCCTTTGTTGTTGTGAATTTGACCTGTGACTGGCGGATTGACGCTACGTGGCACCGTTTGAGTTTGTTGCTCAATAATATGGCAAAAATAATTCCTTGTTAAAATTTCGTTTCCTAAAGCACGTAATATGATCCAAGGTTTAAATATATCCCAAAATACCTTGCTATTTATTAGATGCCCTCAAACTCGAACGTTACCTCGTCACCAATGAGAACAAACGGCGCCCAGTACTTCACTGCATTAAAACGGTCAGATTTTCTCATGGATTTCATGGCTTCATTCAGAGCTTCACTGGCACTTCGACCATGGACAAGTTGCTTGTAAAAAACTCTCATGAACTCCATAGTAGCTTCGTCGTCGATCGCCCACAGGGACACCAGAACAGAGCGAGCACCAGCACCCAAAAACGCCCGTGCGATGCCGACAACACCCTCAGATTTGACTTCACCCCAACCACTATGACAACAACTAAGTACAACAAGTCTTGCCCTAATCTGCGCCTTTAAAACATCTTTCATAGATAAGAGATAGTCCTCCCTGACTGGATTTACGGATGAACGCGTTGTGTTAGGGGCCAAGGCAATTTCTCCTGTTTCCATTTTACCGTAAGCAGCAATGTGCACCAAAGCAACCGAGGAGATACGTGTTAAGACTTCATCTTTTGTTGCCTGCTTTCCAACGAGAGGTTCAGTTTGAAGTATTTCCCCAATCATCTGCACTTCCTTTTGGGCCCACTCTAACTGCCCCAGCGTCTTTCCTTCATAAACTACCTCCTGTACCCACGGATCGCCGACGAGAAGGGCGCCAGTCTTACTGTGCCAATCTGCTGGACAATTTTGGATTAATCGAAGACTAGAAAGTGAAGGAACCAGACGAATTCGGAAAGTTTCACAAAGGTACTTTGATTTCAAGTCCATGAAAGCAGCATAAGGGGCCAAACACAGAGGTCCTTGTGGAACAATCACAACCTCATCGCTATGGAGCAGGTCTCTTATAGGGTCTATAACCACACTATAAAATGTTTGTAATGACTTTGTCTGAAAATATGAAGGACGAGACTTTGGCTTACTGGATCTTTCTTCTGCTAACTTTTTATCGCTTGGGTTACTTAATGAGCGATCTTCACAGTTAACATCAGCTCTCACACCTATTTCTTTATGTGCAGTTTCCAGTAGAGACTGAAAATAGGTTGTGACGGACATATCGATCTGGCTTCTTCTAGTTTTGATTTCTTTTCCTTTCTCGTTTACTCAGAGAACTATTCCTCCCTCGCTGATACCCATGAATGTTGTATTTGGTGGTAAGTAACTAGTAAAGTCACTTGGTCTTTCACAAAGTGTTCCTATTTCTGGGCGTAGCCCTTTAAGGCCATACTTCAACTCCAGAAGATCGTTTAAAGCTTGTGCACGTCCTCGATCGGCAGTTAAAAGCGCCTCAATGACTTTACCTTCCTTAAACTGCAGCTCCCACAGCCTCAAATTTATATGATCATACGTATTTTTAAGGCTAATCTTCCATTCGTCTTTAGATATGAGATTTCCCCTAATGTGGTCGAAGGCTATAACGCTGTTCTTGTAATACTGAACGGCTTTCTGGAACTCTCCAAGACTTTCATAGGCGTTGCCAAGATTACCGTAAGCTCGTCCTTCCCCTGCTCTGTCTCCCACTTCTTTCGAAATTTTGAGGTCTCGTTCATGGTACTCTAGGGCTTTTTGGAAATCTCCAAGATTCTGATAGGCGTTGCCAAGATTACAGTACGCTCTTCCTTCCCCTGCTCTGTCTTCCACTTCTTTCGAAATTTTGAGGTCTCGTTCATGGTACTCTATGACTTTCTGGAAATCTCCAAGACTCTGATAGGCGTTGCCAAGATTAGCGTACGCTCTTCCTTCCCCTGCTCTGTCTCCCACTTCTTTCGAAATTTTGAGGTATCGTTCATGGTACTCTATGGCTTTCTGGAAATCTCCAAGACTCTGATAGGCGTTGCCAAGATTACAGTACGCTCTTCCTTCCCCTGCTCTGTCTCCCACTTCTTCCGAAATTTTGAGGTCTCGTTCATGGTACTCTATGGCTTTCTGGAAATCTCCAAGACTGTAATAGGCGTTGCCAAGATTACAGTACGCTTTTCCTTCTCCTGCCCTGTTACCCACTTCGTTCGAAATTTTGAGGTCTCGTTCATGGTACTCTATGGCTTTCTGGAAATCTCCAAGGTTTCTATGGGCGACGCCAAGATTACCGTACGCTCTTCCTTCCCCTGTTCTGTCTCCCACATCTTTCGAAATTTTGAGGTCTCGTTCATGGTACTCTATGGCTTTCTGGAAATCTCCAAGACTCTGATAGGCGTTGCCAAGATTACCGTACGCTCTTCCTTCTCCTGCTCTGTCTCCCACTTTTTTCGAAAATTTGAGGTCTCGTTCATGGTACTCTATGGCTTTCTGGAAATCTCCGACACTCTGATAGGCGTTGCCAAGATTACAGTACGCTTTTCCTTCTCCTGCCCTGTCTCCCACTTCTTTCGAAATTTTGAGGTCTCGTTCATGGTACTCTATGGCTTTCTGGAAATCTCCAACACTCTGATAGGCGTTGCCAAGATTACCGTACGCTCTTCCTTCCCCTGCTCTGTCTCCCACTTCTTTCGAAATTTTGAGGTATCGTTCATGGTACTCTATGGCTTTCTGGAAATCTCCAAGACTCTGACAGGCGTTGCCAAGATTACCGTACGCTCTTCCTTCTCCTGCTCTGTCTCCCACTTCTTTCGAAAATTTGTGGTCTCGTTCATGGTACTCTATGGCTTTCTGGAAATCTCCAAGATTATGATAGGCGTTGCCAAGATTACCGTACGCTCTTCCTTCTCCTGCCCTGTTACCCACTTCTTTCGAAATTTTGAGGTATCGTTCCTGGTACTCTATGGCTTTCCGACAATCTCCAAGATTTCTATAGGCGACGCCAAGATTACAGTACGCTTTTCCTTCTTCTGCCCTGTCTCCCACTTCTGTGGAAATTTTGAGGTGTGGTTTATGGTACTCTATGGCTTTCTGGAAATATCCAAGACTCTCATAGGCGCTGCCAAGATTACCGTACGCTCTTCCTTCCCCTGCTCTGTCTCCCACTTCTTTCGAAATTTTGAGGTATCGTTCATGGTACTCTATGGCTTTCTGGAAATATCCAAGACTGTGGTAGGCGCTGCCAAGATTACTGTACGCTCTTCCTTCCCCTGCTCTGTCTCCCACTTCTTCCGAAATTTTGAGGTCTTGTTCATGATACTCTATGGCTTTCTGGAAATCTCCAAGACTGTCATAGGCGACGCCAAGATTACAGTACGCTTTTCCTTCTCCTGCCCTGTTACCCAGTTCTTTCGAAATTTTGAGGTATCGTTCATGGTACTCTATGGCTTTCTGGAAATCTCCAAGATTTCTATGGGCGACGCCAAGATTACAGTACGCTTTTCCTTCTTCTGCCCTGTCTCCCACTTCTTTCGAAATTTTGAGGTATCGTTTCTGGTACTCTATGGCTTTCTGGAAATCTCCAAGACTCTGATAGGCGTTGCCAAGATTACAGTACGCTCTTCCCTCTCCTGCCCTGTCTCCCACTTCTGTCGAAATTTTAAGGAATCGTTCATGGTACTCTATGGCTTTCCGGAAATCTCCAAGACTGAAATAGGCGATGCCTAGGGCGCGCTGGAAATCTTTAAAGCTGACATAGGCGTCGCCAATATTACCATTAATGGGTGGGGTTGTCATATTTTTTTGGCTGGCTTTGCTGTTTCAGCTCGTCTGACAAAGGGTATACATATTGTGGTTTCTTTTTTCTTGTGTTACCATTTGTCTTTATGTATTATAACGAAGAGGATCTGAAAAGTACAATTAAAAGCTAGAGTAAAAGCTTATTTATTAACTCCTTTACTATTGGTTTTTGTCTATCACAGTCGCATTTGATTTGCCTCAAAAAGGAATCCTTCTACGTGTTTTTCATCGTTGTATAATATGACTTGATGGACTGCAACCGCCGCCCGATTAGCTCAATTGGATAAGCGCCGGTCTGCTGAGCGACTAGGCCGTAGGTTCAAACCCTTGCCTGACCAACACTCAGGGTCTTTAAATAGCTGAGGAGAAAGTGTAATAAGATCTGCGAAAGGTTACACTTTATAGTCTTCTCGGATAAGGACGATAAACTGTAGGCCCCGTCTCACAAGCCCTTGCACGTGTAATAAATCTGTGGGACGTTAAAGAACCCACACACTCTTCGTTAAGTGTAGGGCACGTAGTGCCCGGTGCAGTGGTCTATCTCACTTTCACACTCATGTATGTAAACTGCACCTTAAGCAGTCTGGCAAAGCCCCCCAACCAACCAGTGTTGTAAATTATCCCTGAAAAGCCCTGAGGGGAGTGGATAATAAGATATTTACAATTTACAATTTACTGGGGTCTTCTTTAAAAAAGGAAAATATTAACATTCGTTTTAGTGATAATGATCGAAATTTAAAAAAAGAAACAGATTTACCATTGTTTAAACATGGTGTATATAAATTATCTATCTACTCATTGTACATTCATCTACCTTCTACTGAAACTACTGAAGCTGTTGCCAACAAACTACAAACCGGGCCAGCGGAAACATTTCAGAAAACTCAAATTTCAGAAAGTGAACATATTTCTAAGGGTTAACATCTCTTGGTAGCGGAATACAAGTGCTTAGAAATTGAAAAGAAAACCTATTTCTTTACCACCAAAACACTGAGATAGTAGTCGTCGTAAAGTGGTTATAGGTTTGTGTGCAACACATTGTAGTATACCCGAAGTAGTCAATCGATAAAAATCGGTAAATCTGATTTGATTGATATCGATTGTATCGATCAATGGGTAGAAATCGATGACACATTCGTTCCGTTAACCAGTTTTGTTTGTTTTTTCCGATTTCATCGATTTATATCGGAAGATATATCTGTTCATCTGTTTATCCAAAAATGAAAACTGATCTCATGCAAACAGTAAATTACGGGTTGTGGGATTGGGTTGGGATTGCACCTTGCATGGGACCAAGGGAACTATGAGTCCCGTTCGTGCCCATTCCCTCTGGGTAGGCCTGTGTCCAGAAAAGCTGGTAGAAACAAGGAGACAAACAAAAAAACCTGGAAGAAATTGAAGTTAAGTTGTCTGTATATTGGTGTTCCCTTCTTTTAAGTTGTAAATAAAATATTTAATCTCTCTCATCTTATTGCTGTTGCTTAGCCGTATGTATTCGCTTTCCTATAGAATTAAGGAACAACAAAACAAAGAGAATTAGGAATAGGTATTTGATTAACCATTAGCTTGGCAAGGCGTTCATCAACGGTACCGGCTTTTCCCACCTCAAAATTATAATCCAAATAAGAACAAATGAGATCGTATCGTTAATAGGGAAAACTATCAAAGGACGTCTGAAGTACACCACCGCCGCCACATGTAATTAGCCACTATGCGTATCCACTTATCTTATCCATTTAAACTTTCTTGCTTGCGAATAATCCCTTACCGTATTCAACCGATTATTGTATTTCTACCTAGGGAAGGACTGACAGAGGAGCCATTATCTAGTTTGAAACTCTCAAATCCCAGTATTAAATTTGGTGTATTATAAAGTTGTTTGAACACTAATTAACACAATTTGGTTGTTTAGTTTAACGAAACTACCTCCTTTTCGGTCCTCAACTCGCTACCTTATGTAAAGGCAATATTTAATCTAGGTGATGGGAAATATCTATATTCCTGTAATGTGACGTAGATATATTCTACTGGGCCGTTTACAAAGCCATTTTTAAGAGAAACGTATTAGAACAATTTCATATTGGAAAACACGCGCTAAAGCTGGTCACACCTTTGATTTGTGACCCTGATACCAAACAAGCGTTGTTAGGTTCTCTCTTGAAGAAGGGTTTTGGAGATGGTCGTCTTTTCAACATTGGGGTTAAAAAATATACAAAAATAGTTGAATACACTGTTTAGTCTTGGAAACTTTAAATGTTAGTTAATTTTCCACTGTGTATAACTAAAACCTACTATGACTTAGAAAAACACCTATTGTAGGCATGAATCTGTTCTTGTACCGAAAAGCCGCTTTATTGCCGCAAAGGAAATTGCTTTCCGTTGCAGGTGTCTTCAGCTGTGGAAAGGATAACGAACCAATTTCTCCAACGAATCTTGTTATCTAAGGCCGAAAACTTTTCGCACTTCAACCCCTAAATTCGAATAATAATCAGTTTTCCTTAACTCATTAAAACTTGGGTTGGGCCACGCGCCTTAACACCTTTTAACTTCTCTGTTCAGAGTTGAACCAGTTTTAAGCGAATTTCACTCACTTTACTAACTTAAAACTAAAATCTGTTTCGATAAAATCTCGGAAAAACTTAATACCTTACTGACTAGCGATTTCAATTCTTGTAAAGGAATTCGGTCATTACTAGTTTTGCAAAATTTTTACAGCGGCAGCTGTGTAAGGAGAGATTTTCCATGTACCCTTTATTTGTCTCGAACTTCATATGTAACTTTTAAATATTCCCTTTGAAGTTGTTTCAGCGGTAATTTACATTGAATTTGCATTGAGATGTTTTAGTTCTTTTAAATTATATACACATTTTACTTCAATGTTGACTTTTAAAAGGATAATTAGCTTCTCAATAATTATACAGCTTAGTCACTGAATAATTGGATCGTTCCCCTGTTCAAATACCAACCTTTCGTAGTTTTTATTTTGTAATTTTAAGGAATCCTGAGCAAAGGAAACTCGAATTCTTTGCACAGCTTTACTGCTGAATCTTTGTAGTTTCTGAAATTCATCTCTGTGACTGACATTTAATTTTGAGTCATTTAGTTGAGCATTTAAACTTTGAAGCTAAATTTATCCAGCTTTCAGCTGATTTTATTCAGCCTTCTTTCCATTTGTTTTGTGACGTTGCAATAACTTGATCGGTTAGTATAAATAGAACACTGTTATCCCAGCTGTTTTTCGATTCACCTTGCGATTTACATGCCAATACGATTTGCATTTTGGTTGCACATGCCTGTATGATTTACGTTCATGAGCTGAAGATTAAACTGTTGAAGTCCAGGTTTGAGTGCTGTCCTGTTTTCCAGTTGTAGCAGATCCTAGTATTGTGGAACAGTGACGAGTTCCTTTCCCACTAGCTAAGCGAGTTGCAGAGTTAGTTTTCCCCCTTGTTGTTCATACGCCGAAGTCGCTCGAATTCTGTTAACGCTTATTTCCCCGATTTGTGTTTGGAAGGGCAAAACCTATCGTCACAGCTCAAAACAGTTCAATTACGGTTCCTTTTGATCCTATACTCATAAACACTCCCAAACACCTGTTTTCTGCATATGAATGCTATTGATCTTGCTTAAACTTAATTAAATTGATCTTTTCAGTATAAATATAGAAGCATTCTGTAAGCTAGGAAATATTCAGTTTTAGCTCTGGTCAAGCTTGTCATTATTGCACAGAAGAAGATTAAACAAAGTTCAACTGCCAAGTCCTGTTTGTCTATTCCTTCGAAATCTGTACCCCAACATAAGGTTCGTCAAAAAGTTTTCCGGCGATTAACCCCAAAGGCATTTCTTAACTTGGGATGGGAGTTCTATCTGGTGTAACTGCAGCTAACGTATTAAATGCATACCTCAGTTCTAAATTCTCGTGTAATCTTGATCAGTTCGCAAGAGGGTACAGCAGACAGTCCTTGATTCGTGACGACGAAAGGGTCTACGAGGAAATGATAGATGAAGATTAAGAACGAAATGCATCTCTCAAGTAAATTCTAGTGTAACCTGAGCTAATACAATGCCTACCTTGGTTATAAATTGCCGAGTCGTTTTGATATATAGTATAGTTCGCTTGATTTGTCACGACGAAATAGTCAACGAAGAAATCACATTTGGCAAAACAAGTTCAGGTATAAAGTCAGTTGAATTTTCTTTCGCAAAATAACAGGACCTGCACAAAACTAACCTAAGCGACAATCAAATCTTTTACCAAGTGAATGTTGAATCTCGTATGATGGATTTTCCCCTTCATTTAGCTTTCAGTTTCACTTTCATGAACTTACGTCTACAAAATTGACGTAAGTGCTTCCAGAAATGGAGCCAACCATGAAAATTTAATAAAGCGTATGAGGCGTGACATTAAATCTTATATACAGTTAACATTATTTCTCTGAACAAAACGACGAAGAGATTTAAAAAAGATCTTACAATAGGTTCTGTAGACTGATTGAAGCTTCCGCATATAAAGTTGATCGAATACTTCCTGTTTTTGCTCCGAAAACTGCTGGAAAAATATGCCTTGTGGACGGTTTTGTGATTGACCTTTTGACGAGGCTCACACTGTATGTGTGTGAGTTTTTAAATGGCCTGCCTGTGGCGCCGCCCAGTTTATAAAATGAGTTCCATTCCTAGTATTGTGGAACAGTGACAAGTTCCTTTCCCGCTAGCCAAGCGAGTTGCAGGGTGTAGTTTTCCCCCTTGTTGTTCATACGCCGAAGTCGCTCGAATTCTCTCAACGCTTATTTCCCCGATTTGTGTTTGAAAGGTTAAAACCTATCGTCACAGCTGAAAACAGTTCACTGATTACGGTTCCGTTTGATCCTATACTCATAAACACTCCCAAACACCTGTTTTCTGCATAT